CGAAAAACCCTACTTTGTTTGTACAATGCTATCTGGTTTTCTGGCACTATCCCTATCTCCTGGAAAGAGGCTATTATAATTCCCATTTTGAAAGAGGGCAAGGACCCTTCTTTAGCTTCAAGTTATAGGCCTATTGCACTTACAAGCTGCTTGTGCAAAGTATTCAAAAAAATGATAAACTGCCGACTTGTACATATCCTTGAAACAAACAATTTGCTCAACCCATTTCAGTGCGGGTTTTGAGAAAGTAGATCCACCACAGACCACCTTGTTCGTATCGAGGCACAGATCAGAGACGCCTTCATCCATAAACAATATTTTCTCTCTGTGTTCCTCGATATCGAAAAGGCGTATGATACAACATGGCGTTTCGGAATTCTAAGAGACCTGTCCCACCTTGGTGTGCGTGGAAGAATGTTTTATATAATCGAAAGTTACCTGTCAAACCGGACATTCCGTGTCCGTCTGGGCAGTGTGCTCTCCCAAACATTTGTCCAGGAAACAGGCGTGCCACAAGGTGGCGTGCTTAGTTGCACACTTTTTATTACCAAAATGAATTCTTTGCACTTGTCCATTCCCCACAATATGTTCTATTGTACATATGTCGACGACGTTCAGCTTGGCTTCAAGTCATGCAACTTGGTCATGTGTGAGCGGCAGGTTCAACTGGGTTTAAATAAGGTCTCCAAATGGGCAGATGAAAACGGATTTCGACTTAACCCACAAAAAAGCACGTGTGTCTTGTTCTCTCGAAAGAGAGGCATGCACTCGGAACCTGACATTCGACTGAACGGGCAACGTCTGTCCGTCAAAGCCGAGCATAAATTCTTAGGCTTAATCTTGGACAACATGTTGACCTTCGTACCGTACATCAAGTATTTAAAAACAAAATGTTTAAAAGCCATGAATGTTATAAAAGTGTTGTCACGTACTACGTGGGGTAGTGATAGGCAATGCCTCATGAACCTCTATAGAAGCCTCATTCGCACCCGGTTAGATTATGGGGCCATTGTCTATCAGTCTGCTACTCAAAGTGCCTTGAAGATGCTGGACCACGTGCACCATTTGGGCATCCGTCTTTCTACGGGTGCTTTTAGCACCAGCCCCGTAGAAAGCCTTTATGTTGAGTCAAATGAGTGGTCGCTTCATCTGCAGAGAACTTACATGTCCTTTGTTTATTTCCTTAAGGTGAAAGCAGACAAGAAGCACCCCTCATACTCTACAATTAATGATCTGTTGAGCTCAACTCTGTTTAAAAACAGGCCTTCGATGAGGCAGCCCTTCTCAGTTCGCCTGAAGTGTCTAGCTGAAGAAACTGCAGTGTCACTTGAACACAGTTTAATGGCTCCTGTAGCATACCCGCCAACGTGGCAGTGGCAGACTATAGACTGCGATGTGTCTTTCCTAGAAGTTACAAAACGTGCATCTATTGCCCATATCCGAACATACTTTTTGGAACTTCAACACAAATACACACGTCCTGAGTTCTTCACAGATGCCTCCAAGACTAACTCCTCTGTGTCCTACGCTGCTGTCCGCCCATCCTTTTCGGATGCTGGCCCTCTACATTCACGCACAAGTATCTTCACAGCGGAAGCTTTCGCAATACTTGTGGCAGCTAAACATATCAAACAATTACAAATACAAAAAGTAATTTATACAGACTCCCTCAGTGTGGTAACGGCCCTGCACAGTCTTAAAAAACAAAAAAACCCGGTTCTTGTCTCACTTTACTCCATTTTGTGCACACTCTACACACTCAAACAACATGTTGTAGTGTGCTGGGTGCCAGGGCACCGTGAGATCGAAGGCAACGTGAGGGCGAATCAGCTCGCTGCATCCGCCCATGAGAGCACCGCCATCACATCCATATCAATCCCGGCTCTTGATCTTAAGCCGTCTCTCAAACGAAACCTCAGGGACTACTGGCAGAGCAAGTGGGATACACACACACAAAACAAACTACACGTTATCAAGCCACACCTTGGCCATTGGCCACCAGTATCAAAATCACGTCTAACAGAGGTAACACTAACAAGACTCAGGATAGGACACACATGCACGACACACACACATCTTTTGTCCGGTGGTGATCCACCATTGTGTGATAAATGTGGTGAGGCATTAACAGTTCTTCACGTTTTAATTCAATGTAAACATTTAGACACTCTAAGAAGACAACACTTTTCACTATCCTACCGACAACATATACCTCTACTCCCTGCAATGTTCGTTGGCAGGGAATCGCTTTTTAGTAATAAATCATTGCTAGCGTTTTTAAAAGAAATTCATAATTTTCATATCATATACCCGGGCATTCCGTAGCACAACCTCTCCAGAGAGGTTTTTGCTGCGGTGGCTACACTGGAAAGCACTTGCCTCACGGCCCTTGGACGCAAGGGTATGAACGTGTGAGGTACTTGTGCTAATGCCATACATGTCCACCATCGTTTTTCATTATCACCAACTTTTGTCACCTATTCACACCACACACACCTTTCACGGCATGGTCATGATTTTATCACTTGTATGTTTTTACCCGCCTTGCTGCGAGGAATTTTATGGCCCTTATACAGCCGCTAATCACAATCATTGTCCACACTCCTTGTCCCATGAACTGGCGCTCTTTGGCCATCAAATGGCCCTTGCGCCAAAAAACACCATATATCATCATCATCATCATAAAGACAAAAAACAGATCTTTCCCATGGTAACAAAGTTAGATATTCTCAGGAGCAAAAGCTCCGCCACTGTTGCAGTGAGTCTGCTGGTGCTTACGTAATGTTTCTGAAAACATCACAGAAGCATGCCGAAGAAACATGATAGACTATGTGATCCATTGTCAAGACCGGGTACATTATTACGAGGTCAATTCAATCTTGTCTAGGACGTAGATGGCTCCACCAAAAGAGGGTGCTGGGCGTTCTTTGGGATGCTTTATGTTTAGGCAACAACTAATTTTATTCTTAATTAGTGAGTTACTTACTTTCAAGGTATACCAAGCACACTGGAAGAAGATGGTTGGCATGAAATTAAAGATGAAATTTCGTTGTTCATTTTGTCTTCTACAAATGATTTTATAGTGGTGAGTATTGATGATAATAGTCTTCAAACAATAATTTATAAGTTTGAGTTGCTTTAAAATTTCACTCTAAAGTTCCTTTAGTTAACCCAAGTTCAGCATTTTGTAGCTGAATACTTTAATCGTATTTTGAATGAGCCAGGTGCTTATTTATTTGCACTCTATTTGTAACAGAAGATGACATCGATGGCACTGAAAAAGTTTTGCTTGATAAAATGTAATTGGCAACTGCGCAAGTCACTAATTTTCTCTGTGGTGGTGTTGCCTTCTTTCTGTTTACTTATTCGCATGTCTCAAAAAGGCAGAATTGTTGCATATGTCATAGCTTGTTCATAATTGATGTAATCTTTGAATTGGAAAATAGACAGCATGGTGCAGTCTTTGCGCTTTCTCTTTGATTTCCTGGTATCCCTTGATTCAGTTTGGTGCCATGGTTTTGTAAGTGAGGCATGGGGTAACAAACGCAAAAGAAAAAAAAAAGGTGAAGAATCAGGTGTTATAATAATTGTTGGGATTTAACGCCCCAAAGCCATGATGTGATAATGAGGGATGCCGTAATGGAGGACTTCGGAAATTTCAACCACCTGGGGTTCTTTAATGTACACCCAAATATAAGCAAACGGGCTTCAAGCATTTTCGCTTCCATCAAAAATGCGGTCGGTGCGGCTGGAATTCAATGCCACGATCGCTGAGTAAGCAGTCCAGTACCACAAACACTAGACCATTGTGATTGGTTGTCAAAAATCACCTGAATGCTGTTTATAATTATTCTTGAAAAATGGCATTCCATGCTGTTCTTTGTTAGTACAACCTTCTTTTTCCATCCTTAATATTATGATTTTACCATGTTGAAGTTTTGAATAATTTCAGACTACACTCAAACCTCATTCTAACAAAGCTGCATCTTACGCAACAATAAGTATGTTATCTCCTAAAATTCGTTATGAAGGTACATTCTCAACACTATATGTATTTTAAAACTATTCTTCATTTACTTTGTTATAACCGATATTAAGTTATATCGAGGTTCGTTATATTGAGTTTTGAGGGTATAATTAAAATTTCTTACATTAGAGGTGTATGCATTTTTGTCCTTGTTCAACTTCTCATTGAACCTTGTTGTACAGACTTTTCACACGCGGTTACTGCTGGCATGTCAGATGATGAAGCCCGTGCAGGTGTATATGCACTGTGAAGCAAAGGTCTGATAATAGTTGTTTTTCGACTTTACTGTAATCATTAAGCTTTTTCGCTGGCGCAGTGGACTTGATGAGGCCACACTGCACAGGCAAGAAGGCACCTAGCTAACATGTCGCCTGAACCCCCACCCCCTTTGTTGTTGTTTGTCATTGTTTTTCTGTCACTGATGTGACAGAAGAACAATGAGGAGCCCTAAAAGAAAATGAGCAAAAAAAAAGTTTATAGTTGGGGCTCACCCCCAATGAATGATCTCTCATCTCTCGTGCTTGGTCATGTAGTGAGAGCCCGACATGAGATACTGCAGTGATAAATTTTCGTGTTTCTGTTTTCTTTACAATTTTCATTTGAACATTTCAAGAAAGTCTCCCAGCCTTAGCAACAATTTGTGTTTGCCTGTCTATTGCAGCAGTCTCATTCTCTCACTGAACTGTGCTGTCTTTGTCTCCTTGATTTGTCTTCTTGATTAACACATGACGTTTGCCTTCTGCTTTATCATCTCCAAGGCACTAAAGACGTCTAGTTTTACTGAAACGACTAGGGAAGCTCCACTGCATTTTAATGTCGCTGTACATTAAAGCAAATATGCAGGAGGTGATGGTCCTTCTTTCTGAATAGATTTTAATGAATTTTGGGGACTATGGGAAATTAACAAGTGTAAAATTGTGCCTCTTTTACACCCTTCTCAGTGGTGCCTCACTGTCTCACTTTTGCGTTCCAGGTGAATGAAAAGAAGTTCAAGAAGAAGGTTTGGCCCGAGCTGCAAGAAATGTTGTCGTGCGGTTGGGAGGACTGCACGCCACTCAAGCTCTACGTCCTGGTCCAGGCAGCATCCAGATTTCCGGTGGGCTCCGTAAAATGGCTTGTTGCATTGCACACAAACCTTGCTTTAAGATCACTACCCAAGAGAACCACTCACTAGGTTCGTTCATTGCAAACGAACGAGTGCGGCACTATGGGATACTCTGTAGTCACTATGTACGCAAAGTGTAAAATGTTCGTGTGGCTTGAAATTAGTCAAAACTTCAAGTGGTGGGCCGCCCGCCTATCAACGGAACTGCAGTTCGAGGGAAAGCGAGAGTTACGCACACGCGTATACTTGCTAGAGACACTTGTGGGAATGTCACTGATTATGGTTCAATGCTGAGAACTTTATGGTCTGCCACAGCTTTAGAACATGGCAGCACTCTTGCCTCAAAGGTGGTAGCACACAAACCCTCACCAGCGAGTGCATTTAGACCACGGTCTGCGACCCTTCTCCTCAGAGAACATGGCCAAGCGTACATGAGTGTGAGTTATTTCTTCAGCCGCGTAAGCAATCAACTAGTCTGTGTCAGTCATCTGGTCAGGCCCTTTTTTAGGTAGCCCCGCCAGGTCCGACTACTAGAAAAGGTGGCATGAAAAAAAAAAAAAAAATAGAAGGAATAGTGAAAGTGGAAGTGGGCTCTCTGATAGAACGCGTCTTATGGGAGAATGAAATGGAAGTAGTATGCTCCTTGCTGACGCTGGGTGAGGCCAAGGAAGAGAGCATTCCTGCTGATAGTGGTTGTGGCATAGTAGTAGCAGTTCAATTCACTTTCTTTGAAATGCTTAGAGAGTATGAAAAGTTCTATCGGTAAAACATTCCCGAAACAATGCTTTAGACTGCCCAGTAGAAAACCGTAATTAGCAATGGAACTTGCTGAGGGGCCCTTTGAAATGCTTCAATTAGGGTTTTATGTATTAGCGATCAAATTCATTCTGTATCCATAAAAACTGTAACACACTTGGCCTCTGTTTAAATTTCAAACCAGTCTGGTAGGCTACTAGAGTGTGTTACAAGTGTAAAACATTGCCTTTATCATAGTATTGCTAGATACATTCGACAATGTTCTTATTGCGCTGCAGTAGCCACCAAGTGTAGTACTTTGTATCAGGGTAGTTGTACTTTAGCTGACACCACACAAGTGTCATCATTGTAAAACTGCCAAGTGCTGCATTCCATGATGTCCTGTATTTTGCTTTTATTTTAGAGTTTGGTGGATGGAGCTTTTCTCCAAGAGAATTGGGGTTGTGATAGTATTCTTGACAAGGCCAACTATGCACACATTGTGCAGATACTTCAGGTAAGCTGTACTGAAATAATCAGAAACTGCTGTTGTGGGTCATCTTTAAATCAGTCTAAGACCCATACATACTAGTTGGACTCCACTAGTCTTAGGAGGCTTGCTTTAGGCTCATTACTAGAATGATCACATGACTTGACAAGATCATGTTGTACCTGCTGCTTAGCATGTGTGTCACTTGATGCAATTAATAAGGTTGCTTACTTCCTCTGTAAGGCTGTTAGACATCAACATGGGACACTTTCGAACCAGCCAATCAAAGTAACTTTTCTGTGAGTGAGTAATAATTTGAAATATTTTGAATATAATTTCAAATTTGCCCATGAGCTTGTCGGCTTGTTATGTTTTGTACTCACCAGCCGAGCACCCCCGCAAAAACTGGAATCTTAATTGGCAGCCACTAGAGTAGAACTTTCTGTGTTACCCTTGTAGGGCTGAAATTTCTCTGAAAAGCTGATTTTTGTAAGCCTTAATGTTTTCCTGAATCGAGAAGCATTCAGTTTAACCATCGTCGATCAGATATGGTATAGATGCAGCATGACATATATCAGGGAGAAAAAGTGTTGATGGGTTGTAACATTTGCAACCACTCAACTCCAGCATTATTTGCCTGCAGTTTTGAATTTTCGAACCGTTAACTGAGTCGAAATTGATTCACTAGTGGGTTAGAAATGCTCGTAAAATTGTAGGTTTCATGCAAGTCCGAGCCTAATTCTGAACTCTGTTATTCATTCACATTTCGTTGAATATAGAAATCCACAGTTGTACATCCCAACGTCCATCCTGTGTGCACATTGATCCTGCAAGCTGTTGCTAGCACAAAGGGCTTCAAGAAGTTCTGGAGAAGCCTTATGGATGGTGAGATGTGATTTCTTAAGTGCTTTCCACTCAGGCAGTGTAAACATGCTGCTGTGCATTAAACAATGTTTTTGTCACATTCCAAGTGGTATTACAGCATACTGCTTTGTCTGAGAACCTTCTTTTTTCTGTTGAAACTGTGTGGCTACTTCTTCGTTACACAGCAGTCAATTATTGAATGTACAAAAGAGTTAAAGTAGGAGATGCGTGTGCAATTGATCACTGAGCATCATAGCTTGTGGGTGTTCATCGTAAGTAAATGGTAGTGCTTCACGTCATTTTGGAGTGGTGCAGTCTGGCTGTCCTAAGGGCTGTCTGCTCATAATGTGACAGTCTGTAACTAGAATCCCGAAAAATATTAATGAGCTATTCTTGTGATGCTTATATTGATCTGTAAACCTTGGAAATGACTCTGGCCCTTCTCGTTTACCTGTGGTCTTGAGTTCCAGTCCCATCTCTATGTTCTTGCAGAGTGCCTTCTCACTTCACGTCGGGATGAGCACGTCTTCCTGGCTGTACAGCTTGTCAAGTGGTGCCTGCCTCAGCTCACTACCACCGATAAGGTACGAGTCACTTGTCATAGCACGGCTGGCTTTCTGCAACATTTGTGGTGCCGCAAGTTGCAGCTTCGTAGCAGATCGCAATGATTGTGGCTAGGCAAACTTGTACATTGTCATTCTTGTCATCCTATACAGCAGCAGTAATTACATAGTTTGTGAGCGTTTTCTTGTACCTAGATGTTATTTTTTTGGCATACAGAATTTCCGGGTATCTCACGTGTTTTTTAAGGTCATGAAAAAAACGTTCTCAATACATGTCTTAACGTACGAGTGCTGCACATATCGCCAATGGCAGGTTTCATGGCCAAAGGATAGCGGATATGGTTGTTGTGAGAAGTAGCTATTTCGACCTGGTACTTCCAGGCACCTGTAAAACTGAAAATGAGTGTATAGCCACTTCCTGACTTGACTGTGCTATGATTGATAGCTGTTTGTCTCACAGGGTGCACAAATCGTGTGACTACTCGTCCAACAAACCTATTAGTGTGGCTGCAGGGCAGACCAACAGTGCATGCAAAGAGTACCTTGCTATGATTGGTTGGATTAGGGAAGTTTGAGAAAATATGTTGCTCACAAAATGTGCTTGGATGTCTTCTACTGTACTTCTACTGCCACTTTGTCGATGCTTTTCTTCCTGCCCATCAGGTGGAAATAGTTCTCTCACCAGAGTTGAGGAAACAAGTGATTCATGCCCTGTCCAATAACTGGCACGTTTTGCATTCCATAAGTTGCAATCTGGTAAGTTGCTCCTGGCTGTCTCTTCCTGAATTTGTCCAATAGAATTAACTTAGAGAGGTTTGTAATTGTAGTATGAGAAAAGTGAAAACATCCACTACTCTAGAGTACTTACAGTTGTGTCATTAGAGGCTGTTAATGAGAATTACTTATTACAAAAGTGCAATTACTTAAACCCAATCAGACAGCACATGAGAAAGGCACACAAGGAATAAGTGCCTGTCCCCTCTGTGTCTTTCTAGTGTGCTGTGTTTTTTCTTGTGCTAAATAGTTCTCATCAATATGCAGCAACTAGCCCCTCAAAAATTTCTTTTTTTATTGGCTGTTAACAAGGGCAAATCGACCCTCAGTGTTGCTGTGGCGGTACATGTTATGCTCGATTCAAAACCATGTCAGTCATGGCGATATGCACGTTAACCAAATGGGCTTCTAAGTGTTCCAAAAATGTGCAAGCTACAAATTATGATTGCAGTGTTTGTGAAATGAAAAAATTGTCAGCCGTGCATAGACTTGCATGTAGTGGTGTCTTAGCATTGAATAATGTGCTTCTTTTTTTTCTTCTCTTCCTTTACCTTGAACTTACCAATGTAGTTTCTGTCAACGGCCACTCGACAGCCATATTTTTTTTAACTGGCTGAATATTTGCAGTTGACTCACGTAAAAATTTTTTGTAGTGTGCACAGAAGACGGGGACACACAGGAAGAAGGCACAAATGAGCACTTACTCACAACTGATTTATTTTTTAAAAGGACTAAACATTAGATACTGTAATGCAGAGAAACAGAGACAACGCCCGATCCTGGGCTGGCTGTTCTATTCTCTACCTAGTCTTCCTTCTCTTCCGCTAGCTCTCCATGCACCAGAGCCACAATGCCACTTTTAGTCATCGCAAAGCATGCGCGGAGCAAGACAAGAAGCTTGTAGGCAGAACACGGCAACTTAAACAAAATTTAAAAAAAGAAATTTCTTTATCTGTAAAGGCCACTGATGGTTGGCTGATATACTTTTTTCAACAGCTACTTACACGGAACGCTCCCATGACGTCGCGTGCAAGTTTCTTACAGTGGGCAAACAAAACACAACAGGATTACAACGACATGATTTGCAGTGATTCGGCATGTGCCTTCTTTTTGTGCGTCCTCACCTTTGTGCTCGCTAAGAAAAACTTGCAACATGAATCATCCAACTCATCCAGCTGTCAGTTTTACTGCAATTTGCACTGTACTCGCAGGGCTGCCGAAATTTCGGTTATAGCTGATATAAATACTACATTTTCTTGCCACTCGATATGCTCATGATAACGTCATCAAACATCTTTTAAATTTTGGATTTGTCTCGAGATATAGCTTTCTTATCGCTTTAGCAGTGTTGTACCTATATGGACCAGTTGGTAAGAGGCATATTAGACAATGGCAACAGCGCAGAAGTTCTGGAGGTTGCCCAATCCTTGGTCTTGTTCATTTTTTCATGTCGCCTAAGATACAGCTTCACTTGTACGAAGTTAGAACTTGTTGCTGGATCAGTAGGTACACAACGCCAAGAAAAAAAAAATTAGATGCCTATGTACCGCAAGAAGAAAGATGACGCTCAATAAAAAGCGTCAGTGCTTGGTATTTCTTCTGGCGGTGCTTAGGCATCCGAATTTTTTCCTCAAATCTTGTAATGAGTGTTCGTGTCTAAGGAAATTGATGTTTCATTACAGGCACAGTTCTTAGTCGAGCTTGCAAAGAAATCGGAGGACGCACAGATTCAAGTGGCCATCCTTGGCTTCTTCGTGCAGCCGTGAGTGTGTGCGGCCGTAGTACGAGGCTTTGGCTAGTGCAAGAGTTTGACAACCTATTGCTTTTCAGGCCGGGCACCATTCTGATTGACCACAGTAACGAAAAATGAAAATCATCCATGATATCCTGATCACAGTGAGTACAGTTCTCCTTCTTGTCTGCTTAATACGAAACGAGCCATGCTTTAGTCCCGAGCGAGACCTATTTGCAATCGTCCTTCGGGCCTCAAAAACCTTGCTGCAATAATGCTTGCCATACTGTAGGACTTGGGATGTTTTACAGCAGTGCTAGTTGTTCAAACCTGCTGGTGATTTATGATTGCAAGACCAAAGGTGTGTACGATTCACCCTGCACTTCAGTAACTGGTCCTAGTTCATTGCAGTTAAGTAACAGCTCTGTACTCATGCAACAACCAACCCTGTGCCACTACTACCACAAGAGAAGGAAGTGCTGTGAACTTGCTCCGTATGAAGCTTAAATCACATAGGGTTTTTACAATTATCTAGAGGAAAAAGTGGTGCTGCGAGCTGGTGTACGAATGTGAATGCTAAAAAGAAGCATGCTTCTGCACGTTATTCGAGCGCCGCGACTGGCTTATCACGTGGTACGGATCGGGGGACCACCATTGGCCGCTGCACGCCAGTATGTGCTGTGAAGCCTATTTGCGGGGTCCATGTCTTGTCGAGCAGCGCAGCTGAACAATGCTTTTCTCGTGTAATTATCTCTGTTGTGAATGAAAAAAGCCATTGCTCGCTAGTGAAAGCCGTTGTGTGGTGCACTCTGTAAGAATAGGCTACAAGCAGCTGGTCGGATTTGCGGCAGTTGTTGGCTTGCAAAAGCCAATGCATCAAAAGTCATTCACACCCGTCAGCCGGAAAGTTCGTGATGCCTGCAATGGATGAGGTCAGCGCCAATCTTGTGAGGTTCGAAAAAGCTCGCAGCTGAGGGAACTAAGCAGGTACGACATTGCCATTATGTACGACGGTACGTGGCACAAACATGGCCGCAAAATGGCATGACACTGGACTTAGTTTGGATTTCGCAGTCCTGTCGAACTTCTTCCGAGCTTGCAGCTGGCACATGGCTCTGCCAGATGGAGTGGAAGTTTGGCAAGTGTTTCATGGCCCAGTCTGTGAGGATTCGGCTTGAAAAAGCCGAGAGAGACAAACTTATGGTGCTGCTGTATTTTAGTGGCAGTGGCCACTACAAGAAAGATTGTTCTTCTTGGTTGTCAAATTTCATCAGATTTAATTATATCTTACAAAAAGTAAAAATTAAATTTTAACTTTAAAACTCGTTTTTCTCATAACACAACACAAATTTTGCCAATTTTTTCAATGTTCCCCTCCTTTTTCGAGCACTTCTAGTGCTCGGATCTGCGTGAAATTTTGCCCAAAATTTTTTTCCAAAGTATGACAAATGCAATTATCTAGTTTAAATTTTAATATTTTATTGTATAATAAAAAATTGTATGTAAACTTTTACTAGGGTAGGTGAAATATGGACTTTTTGTCTTATTTTTCACGCCTTCTACATATTTTGTATGTGCTTCCTAATTAGTTATTTGCATTCTACACTTTATTTCAAACATTATGAGCTATGAATGGTAAAAAATTACAGAAGTTCAGGGATGAAAAGGGGGGGTGGGGGGCAAAAGGGTTAAGGTTTTTACTTTGTCATGTTACAGATCTAAAAGTACGCAACTTGCAAGAAAAGTAATTATATATTTGAAATCAGCATAAAAAGTTCCATAAACACCAAGTTTCATTGCTCTAGGGCGAATATTAAAATAAAAAAATGTCTTAGAGTAGCATCTCCCCTTAATCATTCAGATGTTCAGATTCAGGCTAATACACTACACAAATACCAGAGTAAGTGCACGGGAGGACAGCTAGCGCTCAACGTCGATTTGTGAAACCTTGCACATGTCTTGCAGATGTGGACTCTGCTTCCACCAATGGCAAGGTTTCTTCCACATTTTGTCCCTTTGCTTGAATGAATTTTTCATTTAGCGTAATAAATTACTGTAATTTCTGTGACGATGCAGTCCTCAAAACGGGCAACCAAGTGTTTTATAGCATTTTTAATTAAAGATTAAAAGCCAGTGAAAGCTAGGCCATGTTCCAGCTGGCCAAACTCGTTGACTTTGTTGTTTAACCCATCTCATGGCTTCTCATGGTTAACGTAAAAAAAAGAAGCAGGTCACAAATGTATGTGACAAGTCTTTTTTGAAAAGGCAAAACTTGCGCAATAGGTATCGAGATGTGCTCAATAAATGTTTATATACAAAATTATACATGCGATACATTGTGCAGTAGCATTTGCCTGCAAAAACATTACTTCAGGGAATAAAACAATGTCAAGGAGGGAACACGCAATGCTCAGTCATCATCGCCACTTCCAGACATGTTCTCGTCTCCGGAAGAAGCTGGGGTGCTTGCCGAAGCCTCTTCCTCAGACTTATCACGGGTTGGTGAACTTTTGGGAGATTCGGCAGGTTCCTTCTTGACCTTTGTGCTCTTCTTCTTCTTCTCATCATCATCATCACTACTGCCCGAGCTACTTATGTACTCCTTGCTCTTGAAATTTCCCTTCAGGGGTGACGATGCAGGCTTGGGTTTCGGTGTGCTTGACGGTTTGCTTTTTTTGACGGACTTTTTCTGTTCTTTCTCGTCATCGCTCTCCTGTGGCCGATCCTTCTGGCTAGCCTGATATTCAGCCATGGCTTCCTTGTACTTTGCGGCAGCTTCGGCAGCCTGTTCCTCCCACTTCGATTTGTCTGTGACCTCTTTCCAGAGCTCGCCGGCCCGCTTGGTGACATCGGTAATACTGAAACCTGGGTTGTCCTTCTTGATCTTTTCACGGTTTTCGGCCAACCAAAGGAAGTAAGCACTCGGTGGCCGCTTGGGCTTGTTGGCGTCACGCTCCTTCTTTGGGCGACGTGGCTTCCGCATGCCAGGTTCTTTTACAGTTTTGGCACTCCTCGATTTCTTCTCCTTCTTTTCTTTCTTGGGTTTCTCACGCTTCTCACTGCCACTGTCACTACCGCTGCCTCCCTTGCCTCCATCGCTACCAGCATCACTGTCCTCTGAGCTGGACTCAACGTTGCTGTCAAACTCCTCGGCCACCTCGCTGCCCGACTCGCCAGGGTTGAACGACTCGTCAGACGATTCATCCGAATCCCCTTCGTCTCTCTGGCGGCCTTCATCTTTGACACGGGCTAAGTAAGCATCTGGGGCATCCTCCGCATCCGAGTCGATGAGCTCGTCGTCGTTGTAGTTTGGCTTTTCCTTGGTGCCCCCGAGAGTGCCACGGTTCTTGATTCGGAGCTTCTTTTCGCTCACATAGTCGAAGAGCCTCCCGTACTCCTCCTTCTCAATGCTGCTAAACGTGTGAACGAGGCCACTTTTGGCCTCCACCTCAAAGTCAAATGAACGTGTGCTCCCTCCACTACGCGCAAAGTTAACGCAGGAAATTTCGTCGAAGCGAATATGCACGGGTGGCTTGTGAATGTATATGAATCCTCGCTCCAGGGGGTAGAGCAGCCCGTTGCCCGCCCTGTACGAGCAGGTGATGCAGTTGGTGCCCCCGTGACCCTTGAAGTTGCCCGGCACAGTGATCTTGCGCTGCACTACGGCCTTCATGACGCGACTTATCACCTCGAACGTGGGGCCCGACATGTTCTTCTGCAGTTTGTCCTCGAACTTCTCTTGAATGTCGGCGTCCGAGAGGGCCAGCTCGATGCTCGTGTCTTCCTCCTTGTTGAACAGAAGTATGAGGAAGTGGTAACGCGTCTGACCCTGCTTGATCGGCGGATCCAGGCTGAGCACAAAGAAAACCTGGCGGTTGTCCTTGTGCGGCAGCAGGAACAGGCGCAGCACAGCCGTGAGCGGGATCTTGTAGTCGAACGTCTTACCGTGGAGCTGGATGAATGAGGGAAAGATCTTGATGTCGTAGCGACCGCGAGGCTGTGAGGCACTGGAGCTCTTTAAAGGTGACCATGGCGTCTCCGGTGGCCTGGATGATGCTGGCCTTGGAAAGCACGTTGTTTCGGAAGGCCTGAATCGGGTCCGTGTCCGAGTTTGGGTCGGTCGGGATGTGGAAGCGCAGCTCCATGAGGGACACGGCCGCGTCGTCGTTCTGGTGGAACTCGAGCGTCACCTCGTTCTTGGCCGTCGTGCAGTGCGACACGTTTGCGAGCGGAATCTCGTAGGCAGAGTGCTTGTCCACGTCGAACGACAGCACGCTGCCTTCGAAGCGCGCCGTGCCCCAGTTCCAGCCCTTGAGGCACAGCTCGCGTGACGCCAGCGGCAGTTCGAAGTGGTGCTGGAAGAACTTGGCCAGCCGCTCCTGCTCGTCGTCTTGAAAGCCGCCGAAGCGGTACATGCCGCCCGACTTCATCATGATGCGCAGCCCGTAGCCGGCGCCAATGCGCTGCCAGCTGATGCTCTCCATGTCGGAGCCCTGGACTTGCTCCACTTTGCCGGTCTTGCTGTTCTTGAAGACGACTCCCTGGTTGGTCATCTTCAGCCGGCCCGACGTCATGCCGCCGCGATCCTCCTTGAAGACATCTGGGAACTCGAGAAAATCCATGCTGTCGCTCTGAGGGACGATCGGTGCCGTCGGTTAAACACGTGCGTCGGCCTCCGGCTTTGTTGCGCCGTTGTTCGCGCGCTGCGAGGCGCCCTTTTCGCTCGTAAAGGCTTACGAAGCGCGCTGCCCAGTGTTAGTGACGTGGAAATGGGCTTGCGCTAAATTGAGCCGAAACGGGTTCCACTTGTTGCACGCGTTTGCCGCTAGGGCGAATCGGCGCGTATTTTAAAAGTTTTGTTATCGTTGTGGATTAGGTTACGCTCGGTTTTCGCACCTTTTAACTAGGGAACAAACTCAAATTTTTAATATTAAGTACTTGTTCTTTATAACGCACAGGTAGATTGCAGTATGAAAATCAGTTATTGCAAACTTTTGCTGTGATACCCGAAATGTCTTTTTTTTTCTTTCTTCAGAATGCTGCAAAGTCGTAAGTTAAAACGATGCCTTTAGGGGATGTCGGCGTGCTTTAAAAATGCGACAAGTGAAATCTCCTTTTCTAGGCGCTGAATAGCGTTTTTCCTTCACCTGTCATAATAAGTGTTTGTGTGTTTGTGTGTGTGCGAGTGCGTGTGTGTGTGTGCGAGTGCGTGTGTGTGTGTGTGCAATTGCAAATGAAATCTTGCAGATTGTATGCATATTTTGTGTTGTCACATATATGGTTGAACTAGTATAGCGCATTACAGTAAAGAAGAAATGGCCAAGCAGACAGACACAAAAGGACATAGTGCTCTTACCTCTTGTGGCCTGCTCAGCCATTTATGGCTGAGCAGGCCACAAGAGGTAAGAGCCACAAGAGGTAAGAGCCACAAGAGGTAAGAGCACAAGAGGTAAGAGCCACAAGAGGTAAGAGCACAAGAGGTAAGAGCACAAGAGGTAAGAGCACTGCCCCACTATGGGGGTCTAGTGGCTAAGGTACTCGGCTGCTGACCCGCAGGTCGCGGGATCTAATCCCGGTTGCGGTGGCTGCACATTTTAGATGGAGGCGAAAATGCTGTAGGCCCGTGTGCCGAGATTTTGGCGCACATAAAAGAACCCCAGGTGGTCAATACTTCCAAAGCCCTCCACTACGGCGTATCACATCATGTGGTGGTTTTGGAATGTTAAACTTCACATATCATAATGTTTCTTTACCGTAATACGCTATACCAGTTCAAGTACGACGAGCGAACTCGCCCAGTATTCAACACTTGTGCACATAACGTTAGCTCTTTTTTTAAAGGGACCAACAACTACATAGAAAATGAAATTAGATGACTGCAGGGATAGAAAGATTGTCCCTCATAGTGACTCAGATCAACTCTATTTGTCTCGTGAGAAGTGGAGTTATATATTTATTTATTTATTGAAAATTGCGAAAAATCGCCTGTGGTGCCACATGGTTGCATAAAATTCTATTATTCGATGTACCCTGTCATGTGACAGTGAGCTAGTGTATGTGGTCAACAATTTTCCTGTTACTATTGAAATATTGTTTGCTTTTTACATAAAAATATTAATATTGGCCTGCATTAGTAGTTCGCATTTAAGTGGCGCTGCCTTTGCATGACATAATGATCTCATGCTCATCAGCACTTCTTGAGCAACTTTTTTGGTGCCATGAAACGGTGCACGCAGTTTCCAGGTCGCTAAGCTTTTACAGCGAGATGGTTTTTCTACCTACACTTTGTCTCAGAAATGACGTGTACTGCTACTCGGCCTGGCCGCGCATATGCGCAGTAACGTTTTCGGTGACTTGGCTTGGCTCATGTGTCGAGAGAGTAACGACGACGGGACAAGCTATCCACGACACAAGCGCAACAACCTTGGCTGCAGGCGCAAACAACGCGGTACAAATACAGGGAATGTGTATAAAGTCACATTGTCTCATTGTAACGGCTTGTTATTTTAAAAAATAGTTGTAAAACTCAGAAACGACATGGTTAAGCATCCTTACAGGAACCCCTGCTAAAGCAGAATCTGAATGACGATAGCATGCACAAGACTGCTGGAAGGGCTACCACCATTGCTATCAATTACCAACGTTGCTGCACAAGAAGGGGCATCTATGTTCGGAGCCTTTCTGATCGAAAAATACTGCTTGTAAAATAAGTGTGTGCTTTTGGGATTAACTACTGCACCTTTGAACACTATGAAGGGTAAGTTTTTGTTGCATCGGAAAGAACTGGGTCGAAAAAAATCAGTCGTCGGTTCCTTCAAGAAATCCTGATATGCTTACCTGAAGGCCTGCGGAGATGTCCCAGGACAGGGTTGCTGCTGGTGGCTGCGTTGCACCGAATTGGTTTCTTTCTTGCCCTGTCTGGCTACAAAAATATCAGACTTGGCATCATGGCTACTTTCGAATTACATTAAATTTCCATTTCGGCATACTTACTGGCCATTTCTTTGTATTATTTCGATTAAACAACAAGCAAGTTTAAAGAACAACCATTATTTGCAAGCTTTCTGTCATGTTGACCTATGTGTGTCTCAGATGACGCAGGGATGTGTGCATTCAGGCAAAGGCGTGGTTATATCACACAGTGCTGATGCCAGATTATAATGCTGAAATACAGCGCATCAAAGATATGTCTGTTGCAAAAATGAAACTGGGCTCATATTTGATCAGATTTCACCACTTGAAGCTAGGCTGGTATTATTGTACCCTTCTATCGATCTTGGTCTACAGTTTCAGGAAAAAACTGCTTCAGCATTTTATATTCTTGCTGAGTTCTTGGTCCCAAATTACGTTTGCAAGAACTTTATCTATTATAGACAAACTGCATGCAGGTGCGCTCAAAGGAAACAAAGGAATTATTTATTCATAACTTACTGGTGGCTTGGCGACCAAGCAAGAGGGGAAAATGTTGTGCTCATTGTATTTATCTTTTGCTTCTTCAAAATCTTATTGTTAAGCTGCTGAATACTAACAACTCTTTACATCTTATCCACTTTTTTTCTATTTGGCTATAAATTTGGCTCAAATTGTGAGTAGCAAGGCTACTTTGGCTATGTTTAGTTTAACTTTTGGCTCCTTTGCAAATTTACCCAACAGCAACCTTGTCTGCAGGATATGTTAAAAAAAGCACGTTAAATAGATCCCATGGGCATTTAAGCACTTTCACGATGTAGGAGCCCACAGCGGCTCGATAGTGCTTATCAACAGTGTTGCAGGTCATGCAAAAGAAATTGCTTTTGTTTCTCAGGCAAAGCCGGAATGTGTCCAGTGGTATGCAGAATTCTTAAAGGGCATTGCACGAGTAGAAGGCAGGGAAGGGTAAGCACTCAATTTTCACCTTTGCACGCAGTTGTGACATGCTGAGGCACATGTTTCACAGCACTACCTTGTTTGATTGTTGAAGCTAAACTTGTTTATGCTGTGGTGATTTGTGTATTAGCAAACCATCGATAGTATTGTCGTCGAAGTAGTTGTGTTTCTTGCGTAAGTGGTAATCTGCAGTGTTATCTTTATCATAATTTCACTTAGGTAGAGTTACTGTTCTCATTGATTTTTTTTAGTGATCCCACATGTTCAACTATCGGACTGGTGATTATATATAAGTGGTCTGGTTTTGAAAATAAACGTGTTGTTGCTATTAGCACAGCATGGCGTCCTTAAAGGAGCACTAACATCTAATTTACTCATGTGAAGATTATTTAGTGGACGAGTAGCTATCGACTCCCTAGAAGTGATTCGCGACCTATAACGCAGCTTACAGTACAGTGAACCACTTTATTTGAGGCATGCTGCTGGCAGTAATTCCTGTCTTTTATATAAAAGAGGTCCTCGTATGCACCTTCCCAGGTGGTCGCAATTTCCTGAGCCCTCCACTACGGTGTCTCTCATAATCATATGGTGGTTTTGGGACGTTGAACCCCACATATCAATCATCGCATGCACTTTCTTATCTGCCCATATTTTACTGTAGGCACACTAATATCTCTTGTATCAGCATCTCTTATGAAGTGGTTTAACTGTATTTATGTTAATTTGTCATTTTGCACTGCATCAAAGCTGTTCAAATTTGAACTGGCTTTCTTGATTCTAATTATATATTTCGTTGATTACACTGCTAATCACCCTGAAAGTACTGGGCATGCAGTAGTAAAAAATGAAAGCGGGCATACAAGGAAGATGATGATTTTCGCTGGGAGAAAAAATGGTACTTTTAAGAGTGCCAACTTATTTTAAGGTGTAGGGCAACATCGTTATTGTGATTAGACAAATTTTTCTCTATGGAACTGCCACGTTTGTGATGCGGTTTACACATCTTGTTCATTCTGTCCTTATTGCTTTTCACTGGCTGATCACTCTCATGGTATTTCAGGCCACCACATCTTATGAAACCTCAGCGGGAAGCCTTTGAACAGGTTTGTTTGATTATTCGCCTCCATTTTTCTGAGTTTGTGACTTTTCTCTTTTATTTCTTGGTCGCTATGCTACAACATTATTTCGCTGGATTCTGTCTTACATGTGCAGCTTTCGAACTTGCTTCACCTTCCTGCCATGGCTGCTGACGTGGACTTTAGGACCGACATTGTTCACTTCTTGCTTGATGCCTACACTGCAAGGGTCCACAGCAAAGACAGCTCGCAGGTATGTTACAAAAAGCTGCTATCTAGATAGATAGAAGCGCCTATATAGATACTCTCAAAATTTTTTGGTTCACTAGGAATCGCTCCACATTTAAAATATAAATGGTGCAATTACATCTCAACTTGTCGCATTGAGCATCGTTTGCGGGGTGGACTTGCAACGCACTCTATGCTCGTTTTCACCTTTATATTACGTGATTGCATGCATGTGGCCTGCTTCATGGAAGAGGCAACCCTCCTCAAAAGCAGACAAACGAGAACATGTTATATGCCAGCTAGTCAAGCTTGGAAAGCCACAGCGCACATTAACTGGCATCGTTATCGGTGTACTTTCACTGACGGAACTTTGCCAATAGTGTGGGACAAAAATTCCTCATTTGAAATGCAGAGATGTCTATTTTACAATTTTTTTGCCAGCTGGGCCTGTCTCATTTGCAGACCTGAAAGAGAAGAGGCATTTGCCCCTTCTGGTCGACCTCCGAACGTAAACAAACGTCTCAAAGCACAAAACCACGGAAAGAAGCCGAGTCGTTTGATGTTCCAACGGCGTTCTTTTCTGTGAAGACATGAAAGAGACACAGGTCATCCTTTCTAGTTGATTTGGTGACCACTAAATGCTGCCGCGACCGCAAACGACTGCGCGGGAGTCGCTCCCCACGATGAGCCCCATGATCCGAACAGAAGTGCAGCAGTTGAACGTTTTCGTGCATTGTTCAAAAAACATTGTTGCTGCTGCCACTTCTCTCTGCCTTGGGCAACAAACACAATCTCGTACAGCTTTGCATTGCTCAAAACAAAACATTGCTGCTATTCTACGAACGCGATGCCAAAAGTTGCAGAGCCATCTCTGCGTCGTCTGCTTCACATGTGAGTGCCACTCCTGCCGCTGCTCGCGGCGCTTTTCGGGAGGAGCGCAGCTGGCGCCGTACGATGGCAGCCCTGTGCCCTTTAGAAATGTGCAGAAAATGAGGTTGCAGGTTGAATCACTGTGATGAAAACCAGTTGTGACTACCAGCATGGGAAATTGGCAGCTGCTGGGCTCAATGTAAAAAAAAATTGATCTACAAAAAAAAAGAGAGCAAGAGAGAGAGAACAAGCTAGTTTCTCAGTGAGTAATAAAACTTTTGTTATATTCAGCAATTCAGCAGCTATGTATCTGAGCTGTTCTTCAAGATGAATCAGAATCTCCTGCTATTCTGACAGGCTCATTGTGTTTGAAGCTCACCTGATATTGTGACTTGCAGAATAGGTAGCAACAAAGCTACATTATTCTAGAAGACAACTTATCTTCTTTCGTCCTCTGTGTTATATATTACTCGCATTTCTCTGTTCCTGACTGTTTTGTCGTAGATGTAATAACCTCTGTTCCATTCAGTGCAAGCTGAGTTTTGCTACTTGTCTACTGCGTAGGGTGAAGCTGTACAGAAGTTGTTCCAAAGTGCGGTCCTCAAAAGTATTGTGCCTTTGAAGAAAACCCAGCTTGGTGAATTTGTGGGCTTCCTCACATCGCTTCTGCTTCGAATCAAAGGTAACTGCATCTGCCATTTGTTTTATTTTAATCCGTAGTGTACAGCGAGGTCTTCTTCGGTACAGATGCTGTATAGCAAATAAGAATTCACATATGTCTGTACAGGACATGGATGCAAGTTTATTCACCAACTATGTATGTCACGTGTGTAAAGTGATGCGGATGGTGGGATGAAAACTGCATAGCGACAGCCTTACTTGTCCTATGAGAAGGGAAACAGCTTAAAAATGTCTTTTTTTAAGCTTTTGTTGTTTTCTATTAATTATTCCTAAGTCTGGATAAATCCTGATATAACGGCTCAGCTGTAAATGTGGAGGTCCTTTGCTGAAGTTACAGCGTTATTAAGCTTATTTAGAAGGCGAACAAGAGACATGCATACTGATTCTCTTCTTTGTACAGTCCAGCTTATGTATTCAATTTTGCCTTAAGATACATTGAAATTTGACAGAATGTGATTTCTGCTTGTATGGGTGAAGGATGATGGCAGTCATTGTATGCAGCTGTATCTGTCATGAAAGCAAGTCCGGTTCAGTAGCACAGTGGCTGTTGTGTTTTGCTGTGAAGCTCAAGGATTTGTGTTTGATTCTGAGCTTCTGTGGCTGCACTGCGATGGATACAAAATGTAAAAACACCCATCCACTTTTGTTTAGGTGCTGCACCCTTAGGAACCCTAGGTAGACAAACTTGATTGTAGAGTCCATAACTATGGCAGGCCTCATAGCCAATGCAGGATTTTTACATGTGAAACCTCCGATTAAATTTTTAAATACCGCCCCCCCCCCCCCCCATTTCTTTTCTCATTCTGCGGGGATGCGTCATTGGAGGAGGGAAGACTTCGATACTGTGACCTGTAGCACTCTTCCCTAATGTATTTACACACATGCTCATTGTCCATTGTTGCTTGGCACAGGTTAATGCTGGCAAGTGTAGGCTAAAAAATGCCTAATCACAGTTAATGTTGTCTTAATATTGGCTAAACGTAGACAGTAAATGAAAAGCAAGAAAATTGGTTCCAAATCTTCATGTTACACCACAAATGTCGTCGAAAGACGATAGTCTTGCGTCTGGAGAGAGTGAACAAAACATTTATTTGGTGTTCTGCGCTAGAAAATCGGTGAATGGTATTCTGGAGGCGCTGCGTTAGAGTGCCTCGAGCGTGTAGCGGAGGCGAATGAGTGCATCGAGGCACGTTAGACACAAGTGTCATCTGGCAGTTATCTTCGAAAACTGAAGGCGTGCAGCTCGCGGAGAAAGATGGGCGTCAGTCTCGGAGGTGATAAGGTGTAGAACGCAAAGCGACGGGCAGGTGCCACCACCGTGATGTCGTAGCAAAGCGTTGCAAACACCTTTCTGAGCATCTAAATGATGCTAGCTTGCTAAATGATGATTAGCTAATGAAGCTAGCTAAATGAAGCTAGCTAAATGATGATTATTGTTGTGTGGAAAAAAGACGCCCCCTATACTCCTGTTTGTCGTAGAGTGTAGTTTTTGCTAGTGTTGCCTCACTATGGGCAGATGTCAGCTAGCATAACCATATATTGACTGCAAGGTGGCTAGTTTAGGTTTGATTTTTGTGTTAGGTAATGCCAGATAATGAAGTATATCAGTTGTTAACAGGAACATTGTCTGCATATAAATCCACTAATGCTACATATACACTTATAGCCTCGATTGGTTCTGCCTGAATTTCTGTCTTTTTGTGGTTGTCCGCAGCTTCTTTAGGAGATGGGGCGAGCACAGACGTGAAAAAATGTCTCAAGAAACCAAGCACATGCTTGAAAAGATTGACTCTGCAGCCAGCCTGGACGAATCTGTGGCAACAGCTTTCAAGGTTCTCCTGCTGTACCTCACCACCTTGACTGCACTGGGAATCTCCGACGACCCTTCATCGCTGCAGGTGAGGGTTCAGTGCGATATTGATTATATTGTGGTATTCAATTAATGGCAACAATAGCTTGTCACATGGCCCAAAGTTGTAAGCAACAGCGTTTTGAACTTGCATCAAGCTCGCAGTAACAACATGGTGCAGTGTCTGTATATTGTTATCACTTTCTAATGATCTGTCTAAATAGAGCTGATATGTATCAGAAACAGATGTGAGCAAGCCTATGCCTTGAGAATTGAGTTTAATTAATAGAGATGTTAGTGCTACAGCAGTTTCGGTGCATCTGTTCATCATCTATTCATCCTGGTTGCGGCACACTGCTTAGGTTGACTGCTACGAAATTTCATTTCGGGTGAATGAGTTGATACGTATGTTTGGGGTATAGTACTGCCTAAACAATCTTGGCAAGGCTTTGAGAATGTATCGGTGTAGTTTTCTTGGTGCCAACCTTCGAACAGCACCTAAGTAAATGACACATACACTTTATAGTTGTCGCTATGACATGCTTCCACTTGTGTGATTCACATGTCTTATTTTGCTCCAAAGTTCATTTGTACTTAAAACTAGGTTTTCAAGCACTAATATCAGTTAACTTTTAAAATACAGGGAGCCTGGTAGCAAGGCCTGTTGCAGACATTGGTTTCCTAATAATCAATAGATTAGTTGTGTATAATACTGGGCAACCTATGCACTTTGGCTTTAGTGCAGTGTAGCAAATGGAGGCACCAAAAACTGTGCATCATGCCATCATTACCTTTGTTTTCATCTGTGCTCTTTGCTTTTTGCACTTGTGCAGATTCCTCTATCTTGAGCATGACTGTAGAAACTCCTGATGCTAACGCCACCGTAAAAGTGTCTATCATTAGGAGCAGAGTGTTAATATTGCATCAACTTGACTGATTATGAGTTGAAAAAAACAAAACAAAACCAAAACAAAGCATCTGTCAGTACCAAAGCAGCGCCTGTACTGCTTGTTCTTTTTTCAACTCGTTGCTTGTCTTGTGAATTGTTTAACATCATGAACAACGTGATGCTGTAGCTAGGCTTTCTGACTGGTGCCTCCCCTCTTCTTCACAGGAGGTGTGCAGCTCTGCCCGAGATCTGCTGAGTGAAACGATCGAGGCCGAGGAAGAGCACAAGGCCAAGTGGGTGCAGCTTGTCGTGGACCTGGCACTTAGCATGCTGTCCATGCAGAGCCTACATGTGCGTGCCATCGCCACAGCTGCATTTGCCCACCTTCACAACCAGTTGTCAGACGAGGCATTGGGCCTGCTGCTCGACGTGAGTTACCGCCAATGCACTGTGACGCTATTATTTGCTAGACATAAGCTTTCCTTAGACGCATGCTTCTGACTCGCATTAGCAAGCTTATGCTGCATGTTTCTGTTCACTGTCCCTGTGCAGGTATTTTCTTCGAAAAAAACTGGTGATAAGGAACAAGAAGAAGAAGATAGTGATGATGGTGAAGAAATGGATGATGGTAATTGGTGGCACTATCACTTTTCTTTACAGTAGAAGCTGTCTATGTCCAAGTACTCTTTTAGTTTATGACATCTGTTGCAGATGTTTGAAGTGTGGTTCAAAAGAAGAGACAGATATTGAACATCATGACATACCATGTGGCAGGAGCAACAGCTGCCTACTTCAGCTGGTTTTTTGCTGCAGCCTTGGACAACTTGTAACTCAGCATCCTAATTAACAGCCCTGCTGTAGTTTGCATAGTCATTCAAAAATATTGTCAGCATCAAGAGTTGATAGCACATTGCTGCCTGCAGGGTTCAGGGTCTTTGTGCACGCAATTCTTTTAGCATGAACTGCATTTCATTGTGATGATGCTGCTTTATTTGTGCTTGTGGTTACATCAGGGCATGAAAGTGTGAAACCAAAATCCAAAACGCGAGAACAGACTGCTGTACTGAGTGCTATTTAAACTACATGAGTAGATGTTTAACAGCATGTTAAAAAACTTTTGATGTCGCTTGCTACAGGAATGCAAGCAAGTTTACATGTTTTCCTTCTCTTTGAATGCTGAAGGTGGTGAAGAGTCGGAAAGTGAGGAAAGTGATGAAGAGAGTGATGTGGAAGGTGAAGAAAACAGCGATCCAGATGAGGAACTGAGGTCAAGGCTAAGGGCAGCATTGGGAAGTGCAGCTGCAGATGAGGAAGATTCGGTAAGTTTCTTGTGCTTTCCCTTTCTGTAAATGCCAACTCTTGCATTGCCGCATTTGCAGGCTTCACTTCAGTGCACTGCTGTTTTACAGTGACGTCGTGGAGACATATATTTCGAAACCTGTTTCATGCCTCTAATATGTGTCACTATGCCGCAGGACAAAACTAATAAAACTAATTAGTAGTTATACCAAGGAGAGCATAGGGGACATTATTTGTCGCTGTATAAACGCGAATGTAATGATTGTGACCTAAATTAAAAAAAAAAAAGCTACAGCAGAGGAGAAAGAAATCACTCTTTCAGTTGATGGGATCTGAACCAGCAACCTTCAAATTTTAGGTCATGAAATGTGAACACATTTGGGCATCTATTGAATATAGCAAGTGTGGATACTTTGGCTGTTCATTTTCAGTTAGCCTTGCTTTGTAGAATTTTATTTTGACCGATATATGTTTACGTTATTTTTGCTGTCATAGACAGCATTGTGCATCATGCACCATTGTATTGCTGTGTTGATCAGTGCATGTGCAGCTTACACGTAGAATTTTAGATCTCTAGACACACGACATACATACAGTGCATTGAGCTGTATAAATTGTAGATGCATGTGGATGTACTTCTTAGTCTGCTAATAAACCACGTCAATGAGGAGTATTCATTGTTGGGCTTTCTTTCAGAGCAGCTGAAGACATTGTGCCAACAGATGACCAAATGTTTGAAGCTGGACGGGGCCATTGCGGAAGCATTTCGAGGCAGACTACGACCAGCGAACAAAGAGAAGAGCAAGGAAAGAACAATCAGCATTCATTTTCAGACCAGGTACATTTAATCCTCAACCTGACATGCTTTCTTTGTTCGGAATGGTGAGGTACATTAAGAAAGCACTGGCTTTAGAACTTGAAGTGTGTTAGAAGAATGAATCTTGCAAATTTGTTGGTTGAGTAAAATCTATGAGTGTGTAAGTTTGGGATTAAATTATGGTTATTTGTAGGTGGGCATTCCTTATTTGTATAACTTGTGGGCATATGGTAAAGCAAATCGTAATTAACTTTTGCTGTGTGTAATAAATTAGCGTATTTCTTACTCTCACCAAATCCGCTACAGTTTAGAGTGTGGGTCGTGATGTATTGCGTATGTAACCTAATGCTTGTAGTGATTTAAAAAACTTCTTCACTATGTTTTCCTTATTCCTGTGACTGACAGCAGCTTTCCAAGTTGCCTTAGTGAAACGAGTCGTTCGCTTGTCATGATTCCTACATGAAGCAAATGCTAACCTATCATATTAGTACACAGGAGCAACACCTTGCTATCAGCCTAGCGAAACATTGCACATGGGATTCACTTAGAGCAAACATATGCATCAGTGTACCCAGAACAATGACCGAAAAGCGGCTGAACAGTAAATCCCTATCACTGCAACTTCACTTTAGTCCTTTCATTGACGCTGTCGTGTGTGGCTGTGATGTACGCAGATGCCTGAACCTCCTGAATAATTACGCCAAGAGTAGTGTGGCTCCCCTGCATCACCTTGTACAGATAGCAGCAACGCTGGTGAAGGCATCATCCTCGAATGCGCTAAGAGGCAGCCACGAAGTCCTCAATGTCATCTCTGACACACTGCACGTCATTAGCAGCACCCGAAAGGTAAAGCAGAGGCGCATCTTGTATTCCCCTCTTCCATTCATCTTTAGTTTTTTTTGTGTATACAGTAGTACTACATTATTGAAATAGCAATTATACGGGCTATATCTCGGTGTGGTTTTGCTGTCGTCACATTCTGTATAAAGCCTAAATTGATGTGTCATGTTCTATGTAGGAGTGAAAGCATGTGATAGCTGTTAATTAATGCTGCTGAAGCATAGACGAAAGCAATTCGCCATCTTCATCGCGTGAAAGATACATAGAGGGGTTCTGGACGTAGGGCTGCGTGGTTCTGGCAATGTGTCTCCACTCTGAGTTGCTGTGCATGGTCGCTCACGGCATACGCGCTTTATATCTTCAAAGAGAATCATTAGATGGCCCATTCCTTTGTGCATGTTGTGCTTTCATCGCAAAGCTTATGTGATGTCACAGATGGCACGAAAATCGCATTGTTCACTGCAACTGATTATGCAGTGTTCGGTAATGTTTCGTGCAAAAATCTATTGCCACGTATGTCTATGACACTTGAGGAAAGGTGTTTTCATTTCCAAGATGCTCAGAGAACAAAATACCAGAATAAAAGAAAAGTTGTCTTGCACTGATTATTAATTTTTCAATTAGTTTTCATTAGGATGAACATTTCTTTTTTTCTGCAGTTTGGCACTATTCTGGACGTACGCAGTGATATTGAGTCCCTCGCATCCACTGTGATGGAACAAGTTAATCTTGGTAAGCTTAACAGCTGTTTGTAATCTGTATGCCTTGCTAAAGTCTTCTTCACAACTGGCTATCTGTATCTTTGTAGCTTTTATAGTGCACCTGATCGACGGGACACAATAACAATGCCCACACAACAAAGTGCTTTGTTGTGTGTGGTGTACCTGTCCTGTTGATTAGTTGCACTATGCAATCTACAGTCCTGCTTTATCCACATGCCCTGTCTTCAATTTTAGCTATCTATATACCTTTTGCTGTTGTATGGTAACAAACCGGTACGATGGACAGGGAAAGTGATTACCATTTTGTGGACAGACATTGCTCCAAATGCGAGCTCAGGAGTTCACTAATCTCAGCTTTATGGTGCACTTTTGAAGCATATGTATACTATAAATGGGGAACAGGCTTTCTTGTACCAAATGTCATTTGGTCAGTTATTTGATCACGCTTTTTCTCTGCTTTTCAGTCTCACATGTTGGCATGAAGAATGCATTGAGCTCCCTGTGTGCATTCCTGGTAAGTGTAACATTAGTGATCTAGGCTGTCATAATCGGTGGAAGCAATATTGAAACAGATGTAGAGGGGTGTCCTCAAAGCAAGTTTTGATAAAATTTGAGCATACATGAACTTGACAAAAAAAACAGTCTCTTCATTGCTAAGTATCTCTTTAAGGGGGGAGGTGGCTTTGAAAAAAAAACTTTTTTATTTGTTGACCTACAGCAATGAAATTTGGCATGCATACTCATAAGTGTCTAGAATAGGAAAATATGCAGTTTCATCATGATAGCTTCAGTAGTTCTCAAGTTACATAATGCTACACAATCCAATTACATGGTCTGCTCGTGGAAAGCCTAGCGCTGCAACAAAACATGCCAGGAAGCTGCGAATGATGTTGATCTTTACTCAAAAGAAAGCTACAGGGTATGACACTCTCGGAATTTTTTAATAAGTTCTCGTTTTTTTTTTAGAGATCATCATGGCTGCCGACACACATTGTCAGAAACAATGGCACGGACAAATCATCTAGAAAAATAACAGGGCCACAAAACAGAAATTGAAGATTGCTGTACCCACAAGCAGTGTTCAGGGATTCAGGGAAAAAAAACAGAATCAAAATCGGTCCAGTCATTCTCGTGCTACTCTTTCCACGAGCAATGCACAATGTCCAAAACACCCTTGTGAGAAAAAGCCTGTCGAAGTTTTCGACAGGCTTTTTTTCAATGAACTTTTTTGTTTCTCGTTGGATATTGATGAAAATTGGCACAGACACTAAGAATAACCTCACAGTGCTTTCATAAAAATTTTGAAGCGATACCACAAATACTTTACGAGAAACAAATTATTTCTTCACTGAACCATGTGGAGGGGCTGAGCATAATGTCAAAAAAAAAAAAAAACAGTATTGAGAAAGCTGCGTTTAAAGTTTCAACTTTTTTTTACATCTCTAAGACACCTAAAAATTGTGATCTCAGGTTTGTCTTGTGATATTTGACTTCTTTTCATGATTTACTCCTTTTCATGAGTTACAAAGAACAAGTATGAATTTCAAACAAAGTTCTTTGTATGAAGGAGTGGTGTGATAAGTATGACAGAAAAGATTGTAATTGAATAAAACCATATACTGAAATTATTAAACATACTTTTTTGTGCTGAAGTTGTAATTAGCATAATTAAGTACTTGATTACAAATATTCACTGAACTTTTTTTTTTATTTGGAGAGAGGTTTTATTGCATCAGAAAAATGGATCACACCATGACAGCCTATGCCTTCTTTCAAAATAACAAAGTTATGGGCAGAAGACTGGTGGCACGGGAATTTCTAGCACTATAAGTAATGACACGAAACGGGCATATAAAAATTCGTGCCCCTGATTTACACATGCTCTTTCGCCGCTCTAGCCGTGAAACGCATCATCTTACAGCCGGTCGCGGAAATTCTAATCTACAGCGATTCATTAACCTTGGAACATTCATAGACGTTCGTGGAGACATCAAGCACGGCTCCAAGCACGTCTGAATCGCATCACAAAAGCTTACTGACGGCACTCCATATGACCGTGGGGTGCGCGGCCGCGTGGACAGTGCAGCCGGCGCGTAATGCACTTGCCGGCGGCGTTCGATGACGATCCGCGAAATGAGTAACTACGAAGACAAAAAATCGGCCCGCACTGCACTTGGCATCGCATTTTCGAATGACGACGCGCGAAACTGCTAGCCGCTGTTCCGAGCGATCCTTGGCAGTGAGGGGGGGGGGGGGGGATGACGAGCTTGACTGTGTTGTCCGCTGCCGATGCGTAAAATGCCCGTACAATATTCGGAGGAGCTAGCGAGTGATGTGGTACATTCCTTGCGAAGAAGCACGTCACCAAGAGTGCGCTTGCGCGTCGTTCCTGCCCGCAGTCTCGCTGTCTGCGGAGTTAGGCCTAAAGCCGACTCCGATGACGCGCCGCACTCGTAGACCGCCGCGCGCCCGCTCGTAGTAATCCGATCGTGCATCCGGTGCGGCCACTCGTAGTAATCAGGTCGTGCCGCCGCTTACAGCTTCGTTGCTTGTGAAGAAACACGTCGCCACGAATGCGCTAGCGGGTCGTTCCTGCCCGCAGTCGGCGAAGTTAGGGCTAAAGACGACTTCAATGACGCGCGGCGCTCGTACGCTCGTAGTAACCTGATCGCGCATCCGCTTACTGCTCGTAACTAAAGCGTAGTTATAAATTAAGTGATTATCAAGCCATGAACACGTCACGAAGTGGCGATTTTCGAGAGCCATGTCCTCGCGACGCACAAGCAGCAGACGACGATCTCCCGGAGCGAGCATCGGGCCAATGGCGAGGCAAGCTGAGGCAACATGGCAGCCACGGCCAATCAAGGGCCTCAAAACGACCTTCAAACATTTGCTTTTTGCTCGCTTGTTGTCAAAGGGAGGAGCCAGCTGAGGTGGGAAAGTTAAACACGGAAAAATGCTCTTTCCGATGAGCCCAAGAAGCCGGCTCCCGGCCCAAGCATAGCGAAGCTATTATTTTTTGAAAATCGCCGTTTTCTCGCCATTTCCAGAAATATTTTTGCTACCTAGGTGGGTGAAACGAATTTTCCGAAGCACTTCTGCACGGTTTTCAGTGTAGATATTTTGGAATCGGATAGAAAAAGGGTTCCAGAAACTGAAAACTTGAGTTTCAAAAAATCGATTTTTTTTGCCATTTTTCGCGATCCCAAAGCCGCGTCCCCCCTTAAGGTGCTATTTAATTCCGTTGAGTGAAAATTTCCCCAACGATTGCAGTACTTTTTAATGTGAAATTTGAGCAGTGTTTTGAAATTACAATATATAGAGGTGATGAATCTAAGAGAGCGCGGCTACTGAGGCAAAAGAAGTGGGAACATACGTGATGTGTCGTTTCCACTGTGTAATGTTTGTCCTCCCTAACTCCTTTTGTCCTAGCAACTGTAGCAAAGTATTTTAATCGTACCAAACTTAGCTGTTCTATGAAAGTTGTCTCGGAGAGCATAGCTAACATCTAAAAACAGCTGATGCATCATTGTCTCATAACATGAGCAAGGTTCTTTGAGATGTTCATGCCTTCTTTAGAAACAGTTCCTAACTTATTTTGCGGATGGCCTCATACAGCCATTGTGTAATTATGTGCTGGCATACTGTACTATAATGCAGCGGATTTAGTGCTCAAGATGTTTTGCATGCATTCATTCTGCAAGTCTTTTTTTTTTCCTCTTAGGTTCGCTGCCACAAGAAAATTTGCAGTGAATTGGTACGTATTGATGGGTTTCTTTCAACCAAGCTGAATTAGGAGTGGCCTGCCTCCTGTCATAAAATTTTGCTATAGTAAAGTGTATGAAAGTATGGTTATGGATTTCTGGCAATATGTTGCTCACAAACTGCATGCCAGTGTGCTATGGCTAAGAATGTGCACAGTGTTAACAGCTTTAGGTTAAGCACAATTACTGCAAAGTCACAATTAGTCTAAGTTTCAAGAGATACTCCTGGCGAGCTTTTATATAAATCTCTCAGCAGAAAGGCATAGCTGAAACTTCAGAAGCCAGTGCTTTTGTTTTATGGCCAGGGCTAGCACCGGCATAAGGAAAGATAATACTGCAGAAAGCTTTCACATTTTGAACGCTTGAAAATTTTCATGGTCATTCTTCTTTGGCTACATTAATCAGTACTGTGTGACAAACATCACAGCATTTTAACTTTAGCTGAACAGCCAAAGGTCTTCGTCTTCCGGTCATTGAAATTTTTTAGTTGACCATCTTTTGGAAGTGGGGAAGGATAAACGATCAGCCTATAACATTCTTTTGGAAGCCCCGTTCTGCTTTTTTGAACGCATGAGATGCTTGTTGAACAGTCATAACAGAATATTTCACCTATTTTATAGGCCATCAAGAAAGTTGACCACCATTGGTACATGCCACTTTACATGAAGACACTTGACTCCTACTTGGATGAAAAGTAAGCTGCTTGCTGCTTGAGCTGCTTCAGATGGCAGCTTACTTCGTAGTTACTTGACTCAATTATAGTACATAATGCGTAAAAGCTTTGTGTGAAAACAGTTGGTTACCGTCCAAGTATAACTGCACTAATATTATTACAGAGCGATGTGTAGTTTCAAACCGTTTGTGGTAAATTTGTTCAGTTTATCAGTCCTGATACTTTATAATCATTTTACTTATGTTTTGTATGTGCACAAGCTGTTGTATACTCCCTCTAATCGTTGATAGAGATTTCCCGATGCTCACATTTCTACCAATGGCATTGTTAAAGAAGGATAAAGAGATTACCGAGGGACATAAACAACAAAAATCAGCTGATGATAACTAAAATTTCCAACATGCTGCTGATGCCCAAATTATGGTAGTTGTGCGGGGAAGCTTGATTGTGCCGGTTTTGTAAATAGCTCGTTAGCCACTGATTTGTAGAGTCATTTCATACTATGACTCGAGCCACACCACCCATGACTTTTCGCACTTTATGGCATGTTTCGTTTTCCAGTTCACCTTGCATTATTTTTCTTTGTACATTTTAGCCAACTCGGCAGAAGTCTAGTCTCTACTATTGTTTGCAGTACTAACGAAAGTACAGTACTGTATATCAGCATTGCATAGCATTTTTTTTTTCACCTTGGCTGAATGTGTTCTTACAGCAAAGTATTTGAATTCAATTTCAACACACTAGTGTTTTAGTGTATTGTGACTTCTTGATCATGTCTATTAATGCAGATTGCTTCTTGACATCTTTTTTTTTTATTAAATTATGTGAGGAGCTACTTTTTTAGAGGATAGCATTTCGATTATTAATCTAAAATGAACATACCTAAAATGTTACTTGGTTTTTTTTTTTTTTGTTCAGCAAGCAGAATGATTTCTGTTGGCTGCGTTGATTGAGACCGTAATGCAGTCTTTATGTTTTTACAGTTCTCATATCAGTCCACAGCTTTTTGTGAAGCTTATGGAGGCATATCCTGTAAGTACAATTAATACTTGTGCATGCAGGCTTGAATCCTTTGTAACAGATGCGGTCTAGATAACTTTGCACCTTAGCGTCATGTCACTTGGTTTGTGCAGATTCGTTTTTGTTAATGACGATCATATTTCGTCCGTTAAGGATTGTCATAGCTGCCTGTCTATTGGGCTAATAAAACAGGTGTGGCCCAGACAACTTTGCACCTTAGCGCTACATCACTTGGTTTGTGCAGATTCGTTTTTGTTAATGATGATCATATTTATGTTAATGATGATCCATTAAAGGTGTTGTATATCAGCTATTAGCCTGTATGTTAGGCTAATGTGAATGTTTTGTCTATTCTATTCCATTATAAATTTCTTCAGTAAATAGCAAATTAAAGCTTAAGGTATAGGACCGTATTGGACTTGAGCCCAGTGCTGAATGTTGCTGTGTTTGCAAACTGTAGGAACACTGTCTCGACTTCGTGGAGCACCTCGTGCCACGTGCAACTGATTGTGCTGAACGCAACTACAAGCGGCTTCACATTCTTGGACTCCTTGTTGCAGCTCTACGAATAGTTCAGGTAACCTGAAAATAAAGGCTTGAAGTGCATTGTGTTCACATAAAATGTGAATCATATAGAATGAAAAAAGAGATATTCTGTGTTGGAGGAAAATGAATATTTTTACTAGTTGTCAGTAATGCATGCAATGATTAGTGTATTTCTTCGTGTGTAACATATACAACACAACTACAACCTGTCGAAAATTAGGAAGAAGTCATAGCTTTGCTGCAAAGACGAAGCAATGAAGGCGATAGCAACAAATTGAAAGGTCACATGCAGAATGGCAAGCAGATCGAAACATGCCCCACGTTTCTCACGCACAAAGGATGCACGAAACGTACTCACAAGTATAGATTAACGCGAATAAGCGTCTCAGTTGTTACTTCCCTGTGTCTGAAAAGCACGCCCTTTTCGCCAACGGAGGCTGTGCAACGATTGCAGTTACCTTTGTGCACCCGTTAACTACAACAGGAATCGTTCTGACGAAACTCAAAGGCTAGCCAAGACGTACGATTCTCCCCACTGCAGGATAAGGGTGCGCGATCGAGCGCACACCCCCTTATTCTCTACGCGGGCCAAAGTACGCGTAAGAGTTGAGGGCTACTGCACGCTCACTGATTCATCTTGCTGATAATGCTGAAAACACAATAGTTCCCCCTCCAAGACGCCTGCCAACAGAGGTAAGTGGTAGATATGAATAGCTTTGCCGTTTGAACATTGAAGGAGGTAGCTTTCGGTGGCTCAGTGGTTAATGCCTCGCATTACGACGGGGAGGTCCCACATTCAATTCTGCCCGCCGAATTCTTTTCTTCTGAGATTTTTTTTCTTTCTCATGTTTGCATATATATGCGTATACATATACGGTGCATGACATCGACGCCGAGGCCTGGCAGCGAAATCCAGCCGAGAGTGTCCATATAATTGCCAACGCAATAAAAGGGTCCTTGGATATTGACCACACACATAAATAATGAAAATTACCTTTTTGCCTTCATAGTGGCGGCCCTGCTAAGTATCCTGAAAGATTCCATGAACTTCATTTTCGCTCAGTTTCAGTCACTAGTACCACCCTCTTGTGCTCACCTTTCGCCGGTTTTGTCCGTCATTGTCAAATCCACGTTCCTCGCACTGACCTGAGTTTTCCTTACAAACCAAAAGTTGTGGGTAGTCTGGGCTGACACTCTAGCTTTGATTCTTCTGCATTTCTTGTGCAGAGCATAATTCTATTAAAGAAAGGGGGAACAAGTGTGGGTTGATAGAGGACAGATGCCTGTGCTATGTTTGTGAAAATTGAGTTGCAAATAGCTGGTATTCCAATGCTTGCAGATTTAGCAGAGTTAACTGAATGCTCATTCTTGTATCCCTTACGGCTCATGAAAACAACGAGCCTCAGATGCTCAGAATAACTTTGACCTCTGTGTTAAATCTTTTATCACAAAATGGCTTTGACATTTCTTGTTGTAGGTGTGTGCTTAATACTTTTTTTGCAAGTTTATAACTAAAGTTTTCAACTTTATCTTTGATGTGTTTTTTTTCCTCGTCATTCCTTTTTTTTTTCCCAGCTGAACTGCACATATGTGTCGTGTTTTTTCGGTTATCATGTGCAAGAGTAATGCAGGCTCTCTTTGTGCTTATGCTTATGTATACCAGTTTTTGTATCTCGTCACTGCTTGCTGAACCTGTAATTGGCTGGGAAGCTTAGTCAAGCTTACAAAAACTTTTTCTTTGCATGCCCTCTACTTCCTGAAGTGGTAAATAAATAAAAATGATTGATTGAAAAGAAAAAATATATACAGTAGGTGCATCAGCTTGTGATCAGTGCATCATAACTCTGAGATGTGAGGTTGATCTCTTGCTCTTTTATTGCTCAAGGTGGATGCAGGCTCACAGGAGAAGTTGGCTTCAGTGCTGGAAGCTCTCAGTGAGCTATCCATAAAGGTAAGTCATGATTGATTGAATTTCATACGTGGCAGCAAGTTTCCACATCTACACATGGGGCAGAAAACTTGTTATAATTTGTTGTATCGCGAACGAGTTGTATGCTCAGTTGACATCCTGGTAACGTTTGGTCAACCGTGCCATAGGATGAAGAAGCATGGAGCAGTAAGCCATCTTTCACTGCCATGACTGACTACTGTTGAACTTTTGAGTTGCAGCAAAAAGAACTTTTCTGGGGTACAGGAAAAAGTGGCGCTTGAGATTTAATTGCTTTCAGTACTGTCCATCGCATCCAAAATGTTAGAAAACTTCGGAACTGAGAGGATTAAACAGTTTCTTGATTTTCTCAGAACCTCTTCTACCACAAAGGCACATGCATACAATTTGTAGTTATTTGACATAGTCAATAGGTGAGCAATGTTTGTTTCCAACTCCACATCTCTACTTTTCTTAGCTGCAGAAATTGGCAGCATTCGGTTTTTACAAGCCTGTGGGCATTTATAAATACCTTCGATAATTTCAGGCCTCATATTAAGAGAAGTGGCTGCACTGTAATTGTGAGAGAGTTCAGTAGATTATTTTACAATAACTTGTGTATTTACTGTTCATAATTAATTTTAACATCTACGGTATGCATGGTGCAGAATCTGTAGCAGGAAAACGTTGTTGGTAAACACAATGCTGCACATAAGGCATGCAAAGAAACAAGCTCAAGACAGGGTTGCTTACGAGCACACTGTAAATGAAGAGGAAGTGTACATCCAGGGCAACACAGGTGTCGGTCTCTTCTTTGTCTTAACACATGGGAACCACTTCAAAATTTGTATTTATATAGAAAAATTCTGAATTAATATTTTTGAGAGTGCAAATTGTACTTCTTTTTCTGCAAGTGTATACAATTCTCATTTCCTTCAATTAAACTTTTCGTTGAGTTGTGACACATTAAGACAGAAGAATGAAATATGGAGTATGTACAGTGTATTCTGAAACTGGGATGAGAGCAACACCAAGGTTCACTGTGATTTTGTCCACATGCTCACTTATCCATGAGAAAAAAAAAAGACTTGAACCGAAAACGAAGATACCTTTATTCGTGCACTACTTGGGTGGCTGTGAGGCATTTAGCATAGCTGTGAAAGAGTAAATGTGGTGTCTTTAGTTGGTTGCTTATGGTGCTGTGGGAACCTGTAGCAATAGTATTACTATTTTGTTCATCAGTAATGCGTCTTTAGGAACAAGTGTGAATGTGCCCCGTGCTATGTGCTAGTTTCAGCATCAGGTATTTCGCTGATTTTATTTGATTACCTTCTAAGCAAACTGCCGCAAGACTTTTGCAAACTTCTACCCTTGTCTCTGGAAATAGTTTGTCATCCGCGTCTTGTTGAATGAACTAGAAAGTATATAGGCTGCCTTCAAAAAGACAGATCGCTACACAGTGTAGGCTGGCAAAGCGGTAGGTATAGTTGCAGACCTCGGAGTCGGCTGTCCTCGCTAATCGATTGCAGCTGTGATGGACAACATGTTTTTTTCATTGATGTCGCTTTTCTCCTCCTCCTCCTGTATGTCCATAGCTTGACTGTGACCTTTGCACAGCACTTTTGATGACGTATTTGGAGCCTCCTCACAAAGTGCTCACGTTATACAACTTCTGTAACTTGGTTGAATGCAGCTTATGACTGACATGACGGAGAAGGGTGAGCCGAAGCAACACCTGCTGGTCGAGGTGTGTGACCTGTTGCTGTTAGTTGCCAAGCAGTGCGGCAATGTTGGCATGGAGGTAAGATCTTGTCTGTCGTAAATCCTTCATGTTCACATTTTTCTAGTCAGTCTCCTTCAGTAGCATTGTAAACAGCTGTCATTCCAAAAGGACACTAGACATTGCTCATATTGTGTAGGTTAGTGGGTACGCAGTTTGCTGTGTCATTTGTCCTTTCATTTACCCTACCATAATGCTGCCTCCTCACCTAAGATGGACTCCATTTGGCCAACTAAGGCAATCGAGAAGGCGGTGGGCAGTGATTGTGAAGTATGGCAGCATTGAGGCAAGTGGGAGTCATGGAAGCCTGCCAAGCCGCATTAAACTTGAAAACAGTGTTTCACCCTCCTATTTCCCTCTAGAGAAAGTGGATAATTAAATTGATGAGCCGTGAGCAAGTATCTGTTATAGCCAGCATGTGTTGCATGTAGTGTACATTGTATAATGAAAAGTTCAATAAAGTACAAATGCCTGGAGCCAGTACCTCAAAACTGACGTACATATTGGTCAAACAAGCTTGCCATTCAGCTTAAATATTATTCCAATAAAAGCATGGAAATTATTGTCATATGAACTTGCAGTTCTGGCTTAGTGTACTCATTATCCATGAAGCAATGCCTATAACCGTCTGTCTAACTAACTTGTAACATGGCAGCTATTAGTATCATTTACCAGCTTCTGTTCTTAGGCTGAGTTACAGCAAATGGTGAATCTTCACTGTAAAAGCTGGAGCAACAAACTTTGTGGCGACAAGGTCAGGCAAGGACCACTTTCCTTGTTGGAATAGCTTGGAAATTAGGTTTCCCATGTTTGCTCATTGCTAATCTTTCCTAAAGAGAATAAAAAAAAAAGTCACAGCCTTGCGAAGCAATGAACACGATAGCAACAAATAGGAAGGTCACGCACAGGATGGCAAGCATGCCCCGCGTTTCTCACGCACAAAGTACACACGAAACGTACTCACAGGTACAGATTAACACGAATGAGCGTCTCAGTTGTTACTTCGCTTTTTGCAAACTGGGGCTATGCAACGATTGCAGTGACCTTTGTTCACCCGGTAACCACAACAGAATCGTTCCGATGAAACCCAAACGCTAGCCAAAACGTACGATTCTCCCCGCTGCAAGATAAGGGCGCGGTATCGAGCGCACACCCCCTTATTCTCTACGCGGGCCAAAGTACGCTTGAGAGATGAGAGTCACTGCGCGCTCACTGCACCATATTGTTGATAATGCTGAAAACACAATAGTTCCCCCTCCGAGACGCCAGCCAACAGCAGTAAGTAGTAGATATGAATAGCTTGCCGTTTGTACGTTGAAGGAGATACCTCTCGGTGGCTCAGTGGTTAACGCCTCGCATTCACGATGCGGATGTCCCACATTCGATTCTGCGTGCCAGAGTCTTTTTTCTGGATTTCTTTACTTTCTTGCATTTATATATATATAGATATGTGTACATGTAGGGTGCATGACATCGACGCCGAAGCCCACGTTGACGGCGAAATCCAGCCGAGAGTGTTCATATAATTGCTATCGCAATAAAAAAAAACTTGTGTTAACTATCCACGAGTGTTGAAGATTGGGTGATTTGGTTCGTCGTACTTGAACTGGTATAGCGCATTACGGGGAAGAAGAAACAGCTGAGCAGACCGACACAAGAGGACAGAGCGCTAACTTCCAACTGAGCTTTATTGTCAAACTGCATCAAATATGTAGACCGGTGCAAGCATACAAAACCACCCTAACGCAATGACAAGATAACACACAACATCGCACCGTCACATATCACAGATTCATAGGCGGTTATCCTGATTAAGGAAGGCCACTTCATGTTCTGATAAAACCAAAGAAGGGGCGCTAATACACGTGCTGCCAGCTTTTGCTATACAATACCCCCATGTTTGATCAATGTGAAGTGGTAAAAAAGCACCCGTCACAATTAACTCGAGAAATCATAGAAGCGCATTGTATAGCAAGAGCTGGCAGCACGTGTATTAGCGCCCCTTCTTTGGTTTTATCAGAACATGAAGTGGCCTTCCTTAATCAGGATAACCGCCTATGAATCTGTGATATGTGACGGTGCGATGTTGTGTGTTATCTTGTCGTTGCGTTAGGGTGGTTTTGTATGCTTGCGCCGGTCTACATATTTGATGCAATTTGACAATAAAGCTCAGTTGGAAGTTAGCGCTCTGTCCTCTTGTGTCGGTCTGCTCGGCCGTTTCTTCTTCCCCGTAATGCGCTATACCAGTTCAAGTGTGTTAACTATGTGTGATAAACATCTGGATGTTTTTGCACAAAAATTCTTTATGAAGCCCTTTTAGCAAGCTTGCCTTCGTCTCACAATAAAGAGCTCAATCTAAAAAAAAAAAAAAGCGCTCAAACACCAAAGATAGTCAAGCGAGGTTTGTTGCTAGGGAATAGCAAAAGGCCTTAGGCCTACTTGCAGTTCTGGTTCACAATGAGCTACTGAAGAAGTGATATGTTGAAGTGCTGGTTTGGAGAAATGCTAAAACATTGTGAAGTGAGTAATTATGTGCCGTTCTACCACATTCTGTTTTGTGTAGCATTGTATAGTATGCTGAGTGGTAACTTCATTATGTTTCATTTATGTGCCGTGAACACATTGCACGCCCGCATAAGCTGTCACTGGCACCGGGTACAAACCTGCACCTAGATGAGCTTGTTTACTGTCTATGCACTCGGGTGTAGTTAAATAATTTTTTTACCATGCTTTTAAACAAGTAGGCGTCAGTGACAATGAAGCCAAGAAGCCTAAGCATGCTGCTTTTTTTGCTTGCCACTTGTAGTGTCCCATTAGAGGCAACAGCAAGCTTGAGCAGTCACTGACATTGCTGAGGAACACAAAAATGTCCAAGAGAAAACCACTCAAGGCAAAGCTTGCTGCTCTTCTCAAAGGGTAAGTTCTTCCAGCACTGTTGTGATTCGGTCTTAGGTACACAGAATTATTCACTGTGTTGAACAATTGGAATGTCCCCTTGGGAGTCTTCTGCAAAGGTTGGGCACTTTGCTATGTGCATATTAAAAACATTCATTGCCACTTCCAATAAATCAAAGGCTATGGCACGCTGCACTGCTGCGAGCGCACTTATGCAGATAATACTATGATCACACCTAGTGTCAGGGGAAATATTTATGCTGACAAAACAGTACTAGTGTGACTGATGCTGCTAAACAAAAGATTCAATCTGAAGGCGGTTACATGCTGTGGATGGATGGATGGCAAAAATTTATTAAGGTCCTTCGAAACATGCTTTAGCGCATAGCCAGTTGCCACCACGTCAGAACAGAAAGACAAAGTCCAGTAGAAGAGAAAAAGGAATTGGTGATGTACTTTTCTCAAAATATGTATGACTTCATGTAGAAAGTGTTTGTTTGAAGGGCATGACCATAAATCTTTTTGGAGAGGTCACAAGGTTCAGCCACACATAATGAATGTTCACGTTTGGAAAGGGGATTGTGTGTGAATAGGCATAGTTCGAGAGGGGGAGGGGGGCTTAATCTACCCTAAACGGCCTCCGTGGCTGCACCAATGCCTTATTTACTCTGTCTTTATACACTTAGTAGTATTTACTTTATTAATCATCACTGCAGTGCTTCAGTCTAATGCAGTGAAAAACAGTAGAAGTTTGAATAACATATTTTGGTGAAAATTCTGCTCTGTTGGTGAAAGCCAACTAAGAGATTTGTTACCTACAGCTCTTAATGTTTACTATCTTGAACATTTATTAAGGGGGTACGGTATATAAGCGGTATGTGTCATTTTTAACATAATTTTTAAGAGGAGCTGCAAGTTTTCAAGTAAAATGTCACATACTCTCAAAGAGTGCCACTGGGTATCAAATGATACCTTTTTTATGCCTATGTTGCTATCCTTCCTATGGCCCACTTCTAAAATTTAAAGTGGTTTAAAGCTTATTCAATGTACCCTTTCTCAGCAACCATTGAAAGGAATGTAATGATATTGAGCCGTGTTATTGTAGATACACGTAGGTTATACCTGAACTAAAAAATGTGACATCCTTTAGAGAGTTCATCATCATCATCATCAGCCTGACTACGTTCACTGCAGGACAAAGGCCTTTCCCATGTTTTGCCAGTTATCCTGGTCCTGTGCTTGCTGCTGCCAATTTATACCCGCAAACTTCTTAAGCATTTCGGTTCGTGCTGTAAAAGTTTACTCTGCAGCGACTTTGCGAGCTCATTGAATGCAATCCGTGTTTCATGTTCATCAACAGTTGTCTCCGCTGTATTTTCTCAGGATAACTGTGCATAGAAAAACTTTAAAAGCTCCACGACTTGAAATTTGTAGCACTTGTCAATACTCGTGGCGCAATACCTCTTTTTCTTTTCACTGGCAGTGTTCAGACAACCAGTATCAGCTCTAGTGCGAAGCCTGCGAAACCCAAGAGGAAATCAACTGCACTGAACGGCGATGCCACGCCAAAGAAGCATGCAAGAAAGTCTTGAAGCTTCAGTAAACGGGCATCTAGGCTGTTTTCTTTTTTCCTGTTGTCTAATGTGATGCTTTTTCATCATTTTAGAAGTGGTTCTTTTTCTTTGTTGGGTCATGTCATCAGGATGTCTTGAGGGGCTAGTTGGTTCATTCTATGCTAGAAAATAGTTGTATGACACTTGAAAGAGACACCACGAAGAAGACACAAGATCTGTTTGTGTGTGTTCTTTGTGATGTCCCCTTCAGGTGTCAGGCAATTAATTTCCTGCATGGTATATGTGAGTACAGAGGAGTATATGTGAATACAGAGGAGTACAGAGGAGTTAAACGGAACTCACTTTCTTAATCCTTTGAGGTTTCATTTAACGAGGGTCTAATGTATATCATGGTTCTTACACATAAAACTAGCACTTATTAAGGCATTATGTGCCTTGTTAAACACATAAATTGACCGTCAGTTTCTTGCGGCATTGGCACCAACGCAAGTGATAAAAAAAAATTGTCGTGTGACCACGTCACCAGATTACGTCATAGATCGCCCCAAATTTGGGATGTCATGACTTCGCATGATGCCGTCATAACACGACATCGTCACTTAGTCATAGGTGGGTCGATCACAGGAGGCATAGTTCGGTAACAAAAGTTAGAACTCACTCCGACTAACTCAAGAAATAAATATTGCCCCTTGGACTTACTCAGACTCAGACTCGCCAAAATTTTCATGAGCCAAACTCACTCGGACTCAAACTCACGAAAATTTTCTTTAACCGCACTCACTAGGACTCAAACTCACCGAAATATTACTCAACAGGACTCTCTCAGACTCTAGCTCATAGCCCGATCTGAGTCTGAGTGGATCCGAGCGAGTCGATTTATGAGCGAGTTCGCCGACGTACGCACAGAGGCGATGCTAAACCACACTATGTGCAAAAAGCTTTCAGTGGGAGTCAGGGGAGCATCAATACATTGACCAAGAAGAATAAAAGAACGGCTTTTGCCATCGAGTTGTCTTGGGCGAATTCATAACGGACCTTGTGAGTTTTCTTTATTATTGATTTTGTCTAAACAAGTAGAGCATCTCGGTGTTCTCAGTGGGCGATTTGTTGCTTTACAAAGAATACCTGTAGCACTGCTGCCGGGCAGTGACCACTGATACTCAGCAGAATAGGTACATACAGTTGCACCATGATATACGTGTGATAAGATTAGTTTGCCGTTCCGGCGCACATGACCAGCCAGTCAGTGTGGAACCCGCCAACGTACGTGTGTGTGATTCGGTCCAGCGACCGGCATGGCTCAGGACAATCCGGTTATCACAAGTGGCGACCAGGTCGACTGACGAACCGGACGGGCACAGCACAATCACACGTCGTCATGCCTGTCGTCGGGAAGCTGGATCCGTTCAACCTGAGTACATCAAAGTGGGCGGAATACCGTGAGCGGGCCGAGCTGTACTTCATCGTGAACGACATCCCGAGCGACAAGCAGACAGCCGTATTTTTGACATGCTGCGGTGCAGAGACTTATTCTCTGCCACGAGGCCTCCTAGCACCAAGCAGGCCCGCCCAAGCAGGACTGACCGAAATTTTTACCACACTTGGCAAGCACTACGCCCCTCGCGTATCAGAAGTAGTGGCAAGTTTCAAGTTTTTCTCAAGACATCGAAAAGAGGGGGAGACCGTAAGTGACTACGTTGCCTCGTTGAAGAAATTAGCCGAAGACTGTAATTTCGCAACGTTTCGAGAGCGCATGTTGCGCGACCAGATAGTCAGCGGAATCAATGACGTAACCATGCAAACACGGCTGCTGGAAACGACGTGTTTAACCTTCGAAACTGCAAAGGACACCTGTCGTAGCTATGGAGGCTGCGCGTAAAGATTCACGCACATTAAGCTGTCAGCAAGCACAGCTACTATCTCACGAAGCTCCGGAGCAAACGAACGTTGTCACCTCGGGGAAAATTGATAGCTGTTGCTTCCGTTGCGGGGGAGGTCATTCTGCGCGTCGGTGTAAGCACGGCAGCACGATCTGTCACAACTGCCGCCAAAAAGGGCACCTTGCAAGAGTTTGCAGAGTTCAGCCGGGAAGTAGAAATTTCGACTGGAGCCAGTCTAGTCGCGTGAACAACCTGGGCGACCTGCCCGTCTCTGCTGAAGAGCCCGAAGTTTTCGACTTGTGGACGCTTCACATGGCTAGTTCGGAGCCAATGCGCATAGCAGTTGAAGTTAATGGCGTAATGCTCGATATGGAGTTGGACACCAGCGCTAGTGTGTCGACCAACGGTGATGGCAAGTTTGCCGAGCTTTTTCCGTCGGTGCCGTTGGAGCCATCGAGTGTGGAGCTGAGAAGTTTTTTCGGCGACATGAAACGCGTCCAGGGAAAGCTGGAAGCAATGGTCAAACTTGGCGACAAGGAGCGCCAGCTACCACTATTTGTCGTGAAAGGGGCGTGTCCTACGCTGTTTGGACGAAGCTGGATGAAGGCCTTCAAGCTAGGCATCGCTCAGACGAAGGGAGTCAACGCCGTGAAGTCTACGGAAGACCTGGTAAGCCAATATCACGAAGTTTTTTCGGAGCATTTTGGCACGTTTCACGGCGTTACAGCGTCTATATCCGTACAAAAGGGGGCGAAGCCACGTTTTGTCAAGGCACGTCCGATACCATTTGCTTTGCGCGATAGGGTTTTTGAAGAACTACAGAGGATGGAACGGGAAGGCGTTATCAAACTGGTGAAAACTTCTCAGTGGGCCGCGCCCATCGTTCCTGTATTGAAGCGCGACGGCCGGGTTCGGGTCTGCGGTGATTTTAAGACTACCATAAACCCGGTGACAGTCGTCGAGTCCTACCCTATTCCTAGGATTGAGGAACCTTTTGCGCGACTTACAGGGGGCAAAAAGTTCACAAAGATTGACTTGCAAGATGCCTACCAGCAGGTTCCACTCGATGAGGAGTGCCAAGAGCTAGTCACCATTAACACTCCGAAGGGGTTATACCAATTCACAAGGCTGCCGTTCGGGGTTTCATCAGCTCCGGCTATATTTCAGCGAGAGATGGAAAATCTGTTGCACGACCTTGACCATGTCGTAGTGTACTTTGATGATATTCTGGTCACAGGAACCAGTGACAAAGAGCATTGGGAAAATTTGGGCCGAGTGTTGGATCGCCTGAAGACCGCGGGACTGCGACTGAAGTTATCCAAATGCGAATTTATGAAACCAGAAGTCCAGTACTTGGGCCATATCATTAGTGCGGTTGGGCTGCGTCCAAACCTGGCTAAGACTGAAGTAGTGCTGGAAGCCCCCGCACCCCGAGGGGTCAAGGAACTTCAGAGTTACCTCGGGTTGGTTAATTTTTACAGAAGGTTTTTGCCGAACCTTTTTGCCATATTACAGCCGCTCAATAGTTTGTTGGCGTCGGGAACACCATGGCGCTGGGAAACTGATGAAAAGCAGGCGTTTCAGAAAAGCAAGGAGCTATTGGCCTCTGCTGCTATATTGGCACACTTTGACCCAGGAAAGCCAACTGTGCTTGCCACTGATGCATCTACTTTCAGGATTGGAGCAGTACTGGCGCAACGAGAGTCATCTGGAGAAGAGCGCCCCATTGGTTTTGCCTCCAGCAGCCTGGCAACCGCGGAGAAAAACTACAGCCAATTAGATAAGGAGGCATTGAGCCTTGTATTTGGCGTTACAAAGTTCAGGCAGTACTTATGGGGCCGGCAATTCGAAGCCGTCACAGATCACAAACCGCTGCTCGGCTTGCTCGCAGCACACAAGCCAGTTCCCGAATCCTGTTCTCCAAGAGTGCTAAGGTGAGCCTTGCTGTTGTCGGGGTACAGTTACGACCTGAAGTATAGGCCGGGTTCACAAATTGCACATGCCGATGGGTTAAGCCGGCTACCACTGCCAACTGCTGAATTTGTTGTTGACTGCCCTGCCGAAGTGTTAATGCTGGAAGGAGTATACCCAGGGGTGCTGTCGTCAAATGCTGTTGCGGCAGCCACCTCCAGAGACCCGGTGCTGTCACAAGTAAAAGCAGCGTTGTGGTCAGGCTGCCAGATAAACCTAGGGTCAGAGGGAAGACCCTACGAGACGCGCTTTCATGAGATAAGCGTGCAAGGGAACTGTCTATTGTGGGGCAACAGAGTCATTGTTCCAAAATCCTTGCAAAAGGAAGTCCTCCAGGTGCTGCATGAGAGTCATCCAGGACTGTCCAAAATGAAGGCAGTTGCGCGTAGCCATGTGTGGTGGCCAAGCCTGGATAACGATATAGCGATAACCATTTAAAGGTGCCGTATTTGCCAGGAGCATCAAAGAGTGTCACGACCAGTGCCTGTCATGCCCTGGCCGTTTCCGAAGAAACCGTGGTCACGGCTGCATGTGGACTATGCTGGTCCTTACAGGAACACCTATTTTTTTATCGTAGTCGATGCGTTTTCAAAGGGGATTGAAGTGTTCCCGGTCTCTACACCCTCGGCTGAAGCAACTATTTCCTGCATGCGCAGTATGTTCGCAAACCAAGCCCTTCCAGATGTGGTCGTGTCGGATAATGGGCCAGCATTTACCAGTGAGCTTTACTCCACATTCCTCAAGAAAAACGGGGTGAGGCGAATGCTGGTGCCACCGTATCATCCAGCATCAAACGGTGCTGCAGAGCGGGCCGTGCAGACTGTCAAAAACAAGTTGCGGAAGGCTGGCCCTGGAGATATTCGCACTCAAATTGCCCGCATGCTCCTAACATACAGGTCAACGCCTCACGAGGTCACGGGTTGCTGTCCGTCGGAGCTGTTGTTGGGGCGGAAGCTGAGGACTGCGTTGGACCTGCTACACCCAGACCTCAGGACCAAGGTGCTACAGAAGCAACTTAAGCAGAAAATCAGATGCGACCAAGGAACAAGACCCAGGGTTTTGGGCCACCCGGGTGACCAGGTGTTCGCAAGGAATTTCCGTCCAGGACCTGCGTGGCTCCCTGCAGTCGTCACCGAACAACGCACTTCGTCCATGGATGTTCTACTAGAAGACGGACGACGGTTAACTCGACATCTGGATCACATCCGCCAGGCCCCTGAGGAACTGAGTGCAGACAACCAAAAATCAGGCAGCCCAGTATCTACCGGTGTTGCTCCAAGCTTGGACCTGGGTCAGATGCAGCTAACTGGTCTTGCTCCAGGCTTGGACGTAGGTCAGAGGCAGCTATCTCAGGATCGTCTTCACGACACAGAGTCTAGGCAAGATCCCAGGGAAGACGTGGCAAGGGAACCGGAACTTGCTGTCACAGCACCCAGTACTCCTGTCCTGCGTCGAAGTACCAGAATTCGACGACCAGTATCGCGCTACCAACTTAAACAATTGTTTGCAACCATTAATAAAGGGGGGAGGGATGTGATAAGATTAGTTTGCCGTTACGGCGCCCGGGGGCGTCGATGTTGCAAGGAAATAAATACGGCGCACATGACCAGCCAGTCAGTGTGGAACCCGCCAACGTACGTGTGTGTGATTCGGTCCAGCGACCGGCATGGCTCAGGACAATCCGGTTATCACAATACGACTTGAGAAATCTTTGGCATTTTCTCTGCAAAGGTGGTTGTACGAAAGACTGCCACAAGGGGTGTACACTCGAGATTGATGTTATGAGCTGGATCGCAAGTAACCCTGCCTTAGTGGGACTATTTCTTCAATCGCAGAAGCAGTTCGCTGCAATGCTTCGGTCATCTTGGTAGGGCCACCTATGTTGTATAGAATTATTTGCTGTATTGAAAAGGGGCTTAATGGCTGTTGTGAGTGAAGTGCGCGAGTCAAGTGACTTTCAAATTTGGCGCGTAAGATGAACTACTGACAATGTGTGCAAGATGGCGTATTGCGCCAGTGCGGCGAACACTGGCGATTGGAAAAAGAAGAAAATTCAAGGGAATGGGAGAAAAATCCAGAGCCAGGGCATCGAAGAACGAGGAAGAGGAGATTCGGGCTCGTGCTTGGAAGAAGAAGGCTAGGGTGCGGCGTGCGACCTCGTCGGGTGCGAGTACCTCCTGGGCGTCAGGGCATCCACCTAGCGGGCGACTGTTTCCACGGGGTCCTGGTGACCATTCAACCGCAGCGGCTATTGGCGAATCCTTGGCAAGACCTTGGTCTGATGTTCGAGCGGAAGACAGCGCAGCAGATGACGTCTACCGGGAGCAGGAGCAAGCCGTCGGGCTACGGGCCCGAGCTTATGCACTCTCACCACGGCAGCTTCCCCAATGGACTATTGAAGGGCGGGAACCGCTGGTGAGCCGTATCCGTCTTCTCTCGCGTCCGGACTCAAACACGAGGACTTTAACGAAAAGGACTGTTTAGACTCTTAGAGGTTTCCGCTCGCTAACGAAACTGACAGTGCTAATTAGTTAACATTTTTCTGATCTTAGTATTTTCCTTTTTGTGGTTTTTTTTTTTTGTGTGTTTGTGAAAGTATAATTTTTTTTTGCAAATCAAACGCTCACTTCCTTTTCTCGTGAGAGATTAACGTTTCACAGCTAGCTCGACTGGCTTTATTTACTGAACCTGTCACAAATTGGCGTCCGCTACGACAGGACGTGAGTGTTTGCCACTAAAAAGTAGATTTGAGTAAGGCTAACTAAAAAAGTAAAATGGGCTCGCGAGAGTTGATGGCGCTGGCAGAACGCATGGGGTTGGAGGGAGCAGAATTGCAGGCTTGGTTTGACGCACGAGAAGCGCGTGAGCGCGATGAACGAGCCGCGGAGAGAGACGCGAAGAAAGAACAGTTGGAGCTGGAAGGCCGCAATTTACAGCTACGTCTTGAAGTAGCAAAAACGGAGAACCAAACCCGAGAAGCAAGCCAGCGACACTTGGAAGTAGAAGAGAGGACGCTGCAACTGCGCCTGAGAGTAGCTGAGGCCGGTGTCGGTCAGCCTATGGTGGCTGACACGGGCAACCAAAGGAACGCGCCTATGGTAGTGAACCCGCATAACTTTATACCCGTTTTCAACGAGGACAGAGACGACCTTGACGCCTACCTGAAAAGGTTTGAGAGAGTGGCGACAGGTCAAGATTGGCCACGGGAAAAGTGGGCCACGGCTCTTAGTTTGTGCCTTGGCGGAGAGGCTCTGAAGGTATTTGGACGGTTGTCACCGAACGATTCCCTGTCATACGACGAAGTCAAATTGGCACTGCTCCAGCGTTTTCGCTTCACGGCTGATGGCTACCGTGAGAAATTCCGGAAAAGCAAGCCTGAAGACGGCGAAACTGGAAAACAGTATGCCACGAGACTCCAAAGTTTCTTTGACAGGTGGATAGAAATGTCTCAGACAGAGAGGAATTTCGATTCAGTCCGTGACTTGATTGTAGCCGAACAATTCATGGCGAACTGCAGTAGTCAGCTGGCGCTCTTCTTACGGGAGAAGAACTGCAAGACTCTGGAAGCCATGGCAGAGGCAGCTGATATATATATAGAGGCAAAGAGATTGAAGAACTTATTAATAGTTCAGAATAAGAGTGAGGACACAACTGGGAAGGCTAAATTGATTTCAAGCCCAAGAGCAGAGATGCAATGTTTTGTTTGTGGCCGTAAGGGGCACAAGGCTTCTGACTGTCGAAGTAAACCTAAACAAGTATTTTGTACAAACTGCCGTAAGTGGGGGCATGATGTGAAGGGCTGTCAGAAAATGACTGGCACTTCGAAATCAACTACATCTTGTTTAATGCTACCCAAAGAAGAGACCGGTCCACAACAATCCATGATTGATGGCGACGACTCGGACCGAGACGACAATGTTATGGGCACGGTGAAGACGCAAGCGCAATGTAAGAAACGTCCCATGCCAGTGTTACCAGGGGAAGTGAATGGACAGATTGTTCGAGTCCTAAGGGACACCGGAAGCAACACGTTGGTAGTACGCCGGTCATTAGTACCTGATGAAGCACTAACTGGCACTACCGCGACGTTGTGGTTGGCTGATGGCAGCACCATCGTAACCCCTGAGGCGGAGATACGTATCAGATCTCCATACTTTTCCGGCATGGCCATCGTCAAGTGTATGCCGTCGCCACTGTATGACGTCATAGTTGGGAACGTACCGGGGGCCCGTGACGCCAATGACCCCGACGTTTCGCGGAAACTTTCTCAAGATCAATTCATTTAGAAAAAAGTTCATTCTGCGGACGAAGGTAACCACCCAAATTCTCAACTGGTTGGTGCCGCACGTCTCAATAGTTCGCGAAGGGCCATCTCTGTTGGGCTCCCTGGCCAGATGTCTCGCAAAATGTTTCGCGAAGAACAAGAAAAAGACCAGACGCTTGACATCTGCAGAGCCAGAGTGGGTAAGAAGTTTGTTAGAAAGGGCTCGACATCTTTTTCTTTCGTAGCCAAGAATGGTATTCTTTACCGACAATACTTCCTGTCCCCTGGTAAGATCATTGAACAAGCCATAGTCCCGAAGTCCCTGAGAGGCCAAGTGTTACGTTTGGCTCATGAAAATGTCATGTCAGGCCATCAGGGTGTAAAAAAAACAATAGATCGAGTTCTGGACGCCTTCTACTGGCCCGGGGTACAAGAAGATATCCGCAGATATGTCCGATCATGTGACGCCTGTCAAAGGACTTTACCGAAAGGCAAGGTGGGCAAGGTGCCTCTAGGGCGTATGCCGTTGATCGACACCCCTTTTGAACGTGTGGCGGTCGACATCATTGGACCGATAACTCCAGCCTCGGCAAAAGGCCATCGGTATATTTTGACTCTTGTGGATTTCGCCACTCGCTACCCTGATGCAGTGCCTTTGACAGCAATTGACTCAGCTACAGTGGCCGAGGGACTTGTCGAGATGTTTTCTCGCATTGGTTTTCCACGAGAAGTCTTGGCTGATCAGGCATCGTGCTTTACCTCAGATCTAATGAAGGAGGTGAATGAACTACTGGCAGTCAAGCATCTTAGCTGCACTCCATACCATCCTATGTGCAACGGGATGGTAGAGAGGTTTAATGGAACACTCAAGCAAATGCTCCGCAAAATGGTTCAAGAACAGCCTAAATGTTGGGATCGCTTGCTAGCACCTCTTTTGTTTGCTTATCGTGAAGCCCCACAAGCAAGCTCCGGGTTCTCACCATTTGAACTTATTTATGGCCGACATATTCGAGGACCTCTGAGCATCCTGAAAGAGCTATGGACTCATGATCAGGAGAACGAAGAACTTAAGACGACGTACGGATATGTCCTGGATTTAAGAGAGCGAATTGAGAAGACACTAGAGCTGGTACGACAAAACCTGAGCCGAGCACAGGTGTCGCAGAAAAGGTATTACGACCGCCACAGCAAGCAACGGGACCTGAAAGCTGGTGACCGTGCATTGATCTTGCTTCCCACAAGCAACAACAAGTTATTGATGCATTGGAAAGGGCCGTTTCCAGTCATAGAAAAGAAAAACGACTATGACTACTGGCTGGACCTTGGACACAGCAAAAAACTTTTCCACATAAACATGCTGAAAAAGTATGAAGAACGCCGTGAAGAACAGCTTCCTCAGACATCATCTTTTGTCGTTCTGGAGGAAGAGGAGTCTGAGAAACCACTACCAACTTTCAAAGTACAGGGTAGCTGCGGTATTGACTCCATAAAGCTTGGAGATGAAATCGGGGAGCGACAGCGGGTGGAGATACGGGACATCTTAAGTACCTACGAAGACGTATTCTCGGAGATCCCAGGTAAAACAAACCTTGTGGAGTGTCGGTTACAAACGACCAGTTCAGAACCAGTTAACACCCCACAATACCCATTGCCATTCTCTATGAAGGAAGTCGTTGAAAAGGAAGTGCAAGACATGTTGCAACTTGGCATTATAGAACCCTCAGAGTCACCATATAATTCTCCTTTGGTACTAGTCAAAAAGCCAGACAATGGCTACAGGGCCTGTATAGACTTTCGCCGTATAAACAATGTTCTGGTATCTGATGCAGAACCTATACCCAGAACTGATCACTTGTTTGCCGAAGTGGGAACAAAGAAATGGTTCTCGAAGTTTGATTTAACTAAAGGATATTGGCAGGTTCCTCTCGCAAAAGACTCGCAGCAAAAGACCGCCTTTTCAAGCCAATCAGGGCATTATCATTTCCTGTATATGCCTTTTGGCATCAAGACCGCATCCGCGGTCTTCACTCGTCTGATGAGAAAGTTATTGCTTGGAATACCCAACGTCGTTCATTACATAGACGACGTACTGGTGGCTACCACTACGTGGGAAGAACATCTAACAACTTTGAAGCAATTTTTTGCCAGGATACGACAAGCCGGACTAAGGA